TTTAATATAGTTCAAAGATGTTTTTGAACTATGTTAAATGTCAGCAGTGATCAATGAGCAGCTCAGCAGCTACTTCGCAGCTCTTCCAAAGTCATCTTGGAGCACTTGGTTGCCTTTCTGACCAGTGCTCTCCTTGTTCGATCTGTTTAAGTGGACGGCTGTGTCTTAGTGAGTTTGCTGTAGTGCTTGATTCTTTCCATTTCCGAATTATGGATTGAACAGGGCTCCATGAGAGGTTTAAATATTGGGAAATCATAGTATAACTTAACACTGCTTTAAACTTCCCCACAACTTTATCCCTGACATCTCTGGTGCGCTCCTTGGATTTCATAATGTTGTTTAGTGACCAGTAAACTTTAACCACAGCTCTGAGGCCCTCACAGAACACCTGTTTTATACTGAGAATAGATTACTCACAGGACACCTCTATTCGTTCATCAGGGCAAGGTGTGAACATTCAGCCATCTTTAGGAATGTTTTAAAAGTAATTTAATCCACTCAGAAAAAGCTGTATAAATAATTGCGCATGCCCAACTTGTCATTTTTCTATTTTTAAAAGGATAACAGAATGATCTGTAATTTGTCTTCTCAGTTGTCTGTTACTTTTTACTTTCTACTTATCTAAATGCAATCTTTAAAATAAATGCATAGGGTAATGCTGCTAACAAGAATCTTTTTTTTTCCGGAGAAAGGAGGACTTCAAAGTGTCCTTTCTTAACACTAAGCATGACAGAGTAAAACGCAAATATCTGGGACACTACATCTCTGCTGCATCTTGTCTGATGACAGAGACATTTACAGCCAGTGCCGAATGCATTATGGACCAAACGCTATGCTAGTTCGGAAGTTTGAAGTATGCTCAGCAGCAGTAAAGGCTGAACTTTTTACCCCCATGTTCACTGCCCAGACTGAATCTGACATGAGGAGCTGCTGAGGGTCCTGCGATGGTTCAGGGAAAGCCAAATGTCTTTAAATGTGGGCCTTGCCCTCCTGTCCTACAGTGCTGCGCAGACTCGGCTGCAAGTGCACCTCAAAGACTGAGAACGATGTCATGATGACCTTGGTTGATCCGGAACTATGGTGTGGTATGTTGAGTATGTGGACCCACTGGTGCCTGAGCTTCTGCCAAATTGATTGTTTCTGATAGGTTGTGTCTGCATGTCTTTTTTATTTCCATAGACCTTTTCTGTTCTTAATTAATCCTAATGTGAATAGTATCTGTATTTTGTAGAACTATACATCTGTACCAAACAATGTAAATGATTCTGAAAGTCACAGACACAATCTTGAATGAGTCGGTTTTGTATAGCTCAATTTCATATATACAAATGAAATACTACTAAATCAAACACTGTATTTATTGGTTGCAACCCAGAAATAACCTATATATCAAAGTGAAATTGAAAAATGGTTCCGCAACCTTTATAAAGCAGTCATACTGGACACGAAAACACGTCTTGACTCCTCCAGCTCGAGTGTCCAGCGGCTGGCCCCCGTGCTCTGCCCTGACCCCTGGCTATTAATCATGTGTGGATGTGTGTTTACCCTCACTTCGGCTCTCCAGCACACAGGCACCTAGAGGGGCAATTAGTGAGGAACCACTGCCCCCCCACACCACCCCTGAGCCCACGGACAACCAACTCCACACCACTCGTCTGGACTCACAACATACACACTAGAAAAGAGCATGTTTGCCGTACTTTTAGGTCTGTAATTCTGTTAGGATCAAAATGTTGTATGTATATAGAACGTACGAAGCCATTGGGTTAGGGGATAGAAAGATGCATATTTTGTGATTTTTACACTTTATTTCATGATAAATGGAATGGAGATGCGTAATGTAGTCATATATTAAATATTGATAATTAAAAAAAATAAAATTATAGAAAAAATAAAAAAAATAAAAAATATATATTTATATATATATATATTTTTCAAAATCGATATTGATACTTGGCAAATGCATATCGATAATCGGATCGCGGGAGAAAGTATCTATCGTCACACCCCTAATCAGAATCAGAATTATATTTATTGTAAGTACAAACTAGGAATTTGCTTTGGTGCAAACAAGTTAAAAAAGTAAAAATCGATACAAGGCGAGCAAAGAAAAACGTCATAACATTTCTTAGAATTACTACTATACTACCACTATTACTACTACCAGTGCACATTACGTATACACAAGTGATTAATAACAGTGATTAAGGACAAGGTCATGGTCTGTGTTGTCCTGTTACCAAAGTAAAAACAACAAAACAATACAATAAGAGCAGCAAACTTTTTTGCTATAAGAGTGTCTCATTCCATAATTTGCAATAAATAATAATAATACAATAATGAAAATACAAGCTTGTTGTTAAAACTCTGAAAGAAAAACTATGTAAAAAAATAGCTGAATAGTATCCTGTTTATAGTATTATATTCTTCATTTGAAAATATTGGTTTTACATTAACTACCAATAATTAATTACCAATAATCTTGGGTCACAATTTCAAGCCACATGGGAAAATACGACGTATGGGTTATAAATGACAATGCTTTGGAGTAGCTTCTATTGACTTCATGGTGAATGTCTCTCCCCAATCTCCATCCATTTTTTTCCTGTCAAATGAAGCCCTCAGAACAGAACAAAAACTCCTACATTTAGACATCTTAGTAACTTCTCTTTCCTGGATATGGTAATACTTTCTTTTCCGTTATTACAACATAATAGAGGCTTTTGAAACACACACACACACACACAAACACACACTACTCATTACCCTGCCTATTGTCTGTCTAATGCCAGAGAAAGCCACCCAGCTATGATGTTGTAACATGGAATTACACTAGAACCATGCATTTGGGTGACTCCCCATAGAAACCTACTGTACACACGCATCACAACAAGGCACCATCGCCTGGCCAGGAAGGAGAACAGCAGTCTGGGATGCCACTGCTTACCATAAAAGACATGTAGGCTCTTCTATAACACACTATACATCGCTTGGATCTGTATATTTAAGCACATTCCCTATTGATACTGTACATTGAGAAACGAATACAGTAGACACCCAAACGTAGACACGGCGCGCTCCAGACGTGCATGCCACACCAGTCTGGGATCTTCCTTCACCCCACCCCCTTTACCTTCTCGTAGTGGGCTCTAGTCCCTGCGATCTCAATTAAATCTATAGATAAACGCCCTTGAAGCCAGCTCCCAGTGGCAGCGTGGCAGAGGCGCGTATCCAAGGAATACCGTACAACCATCCGGGCGTGTACGTGGAGCCCCCCTACTCCCCATCTACCTGTGGGAACGCCAGTCTATGGGCACGCGTTACGAGAACGTGGCACAAGCGTGGTGCCCATCCGGATCTGACCTGTGGAAGGCGAAATGTGGCACAGAAACGGCCCAAAAGTTGAGGTTGTATCCCAATCATACGCACCGTGCCGTGTGCTATCGAATTGCTTCCTCCGGGACTGGCGCGCTCATGTATCACGAATGGGACGTGTCCAGTGTCCGGTGGATCATCAGATCAAACCAGGGGAGAGGGGGGAGCCTGGGCTTGGGTTCTTTGGGTTCTTCCCCCGGCCTGGGAGCGCAGTCTGGAGGGTGTGGGGAGCACGAGGAGGAGGCTCGGGGGGATCATGGAGCGCGCACGGACACGGGTGAGGGAAGGCGCGGAGACGGCTGCCAGTCTCGGTCGCTTGTGGAGCCTCGGTCGCTGCTGCCTCGTTGCTCGCCCCCGCTTTGTTTTGACGAGATGCAAAGCGCGCGTGCACGTGGCTGCGAGCGGCACGTGCACGCGCCTGGGGTTGTATTATTTGTTGTTATTCAGAGGCATAAACAGGCGCGCTCTCTATGCATACTATAAATATGTCCCTGTGTCATATGTTAAGTGGCGGAGGCTAAATGAAGGAGTCCGGTTCCGGTGTGTTGTTTTGTCGGCAGTGCCCGGTGCTGACCCCACATTAACACTGTGGGAGACTTGCCATCTGCCACACACATTTGGCGTGTCCTCCATTCAGGTTAAATAATAACAGACCCTGTGCCAGACAACAGCAGACAGCTATAGGCTACTGTTGGAATTATCTTGCCAGTTTGTTTATTTATTCAATTATGGACTTGACAATACACAAGTTATTGTAATTACAATTCACATAAAGTTGTCCCCAGTAAAAAGTAGGAGAAAGAGGAAAAAATTACATGTTGCCTGCTCCTTTCTTCACTAAGTACAAAATAAAAACATCTTATTCCTTTATTTGAATGGGGACAGAACGCATTAATCAACATTACTGTGAATGTGCCAGTTTTAGCAAGAGTTTCAAACTGTAGTCCCAAGACAAGGAGTAAAATTCATAACATGAATATAACATACATACATGTTCAGTTATTTTAAGAACGGGTTTCAGCTCAAAGACAATTGCATTGTTTGATTTTTGTAATTTTATTTACTCCATATTGCTAATTATCATTATTATTTCATTTTTGTCGCTTATTTTTTATAAAAAATGTAGATATTTAGAGCTTTTATTTCATACTCAAATTGATTCCACTGTTTTACTCCGGCTGCAGTTATTCCCATGTGTCTCCTGGTGGTTCAGGCTTCTTTCTGCAGTCCTGTTTGGATTTGAGAGAGAAAAATTCTGAGTGATTGAACTTTTAATCATATCATTTTCACAGTTTTGCTCGTATGAATAACTGATTTGTGTCTCATTCATGTGCAAAAAATATGAAGCAAAGATCATTTTCTTTGAAAAGACCACATGTTTGAATCACATTACATTCCATACTTACACTGTGGAATAAAAATACAAATCTGGTTAATGTGAATTATTACGCAGCTGTGTGCATATGATATCATTTAGAATTGACTATATCCTCAAAACAGAGTCGACATTGTTATGAATAATAATTTCTGGATCTCCCTCCTGTGATTCTATCAGTTCCAGACAGAATGTATAATAGGAGTAGACCATGAGTAGACAGACTGAGTGCTGACGTCACCATATTGTTAGGCCATTGCTTGAATTTATTATTATTATCTGGATTGGGTGTTGCTGCTTAACCCGTCTCCACATGGACAAGTGGCCACCTGTACTGCAGCCTAATTTCAGATTTTACCCATTGACCTCCCTCAGCTGGCAGGGAACTTACAGCTTTCACAAAGGTCGGATTTGTCAGAATGGTTCTCTGGTCCTGTGGAAGTAGAACCACTGCGCACCTGCTGCACATGATCAGGACAACCAGAGCTGTCAGAACGCATCACTTTCTCTAATAAGACCACATCACCCTAGTGATGTGAATTTTTGGGAATAGGTGAATAGTATTCTGTTTATAGTTGGAGTATTATATTCTTAATTTGAAAATGTTACTAATTGAAAATTACAAATAATGGTAGGTCACAATTCCAAGCTTTATGGGAAAATATAAAATTGTATGAATGGCGATGCTCTGGTGTAGCTTATATTGACTTTATGCTGAATGACTCTCCATCTATTTTGTTCTCCCTAAATTGTCCTGTCAATGGAAACCCTCAGAACAGAACAGAAAGTCCCACATTTAAACCTCTTTGTAACTTCTCTTTCCGCTCTGACCAGCCGTCTACAGTCTTTGCTGATTGGTCAGAAGGCTTTTTGTGTTAGAACCACTACGTATACTCTACAAGACAGGGAGAACCAACGCTGGCCAAAATGTGTCACTTCTGCTGTTGTTAGTGCAGTCCATGGCCTCCTGTCCTCTATATACAGTCTATGGTTCCATACACTACTCTTTCTGTACACCCCCAAGTTTTGTTCATCAACGTAAAACTATCATTTATCTATAAAACAGGTGTCAATCCACCAGAAAAAAATAAATAATAATAATTAGAAATAAAAGATAAAAAACTGTGCCAAAAATAGACTAACAATACTGCATTAGTTAAGTTTAAACTCTACCTTCATGGATAATCTTTCTAAGTATGGTTTATTCCCATCATTAAGGAGTGTTTCTTGAATAATAATAAAAAAAATCTCATATAATGCATAAACAAAGTCTCCTCACGTACATGTGCATAATTTATGTTAAAAGTATTACTCTATGGTGGAAGTATTTGCGATTTAGAAGATTTGGTAGGACTTCATTGCTTTGTACAAAAACAATCCAAAAACGCAAAATGCCCCACAAAATGAAAGCAGAACTCAAAATATACCCCCACAACAGCATCCATCATCCTATCAACAGCCATTAGCCAATCACAGGACGATTCAATGGGTTTATGGTGCATTCAAAGCCTCTGCGGATATTTTACCTTTACTCGGCAACAGCACTTGATTTATACGTATATATATGGTCTATATTCAAATATTTGCAAGAAGAATAAGACAAAAAGCTTAAAGAACGTAACATGAAATATAAAGCCAAAACAAAAATCAAGAAATGTTTCCTATCAGAAGAACAACAGCTTCAGTTACGTTTGAGTACCATGATTTCCGGAGAGCTTGTGAACGCACCGGAAACACCTTCTCGGGAACTCCACCCGAGCGGGAAGTTGAATCGTGTTTACATTACTGCAGCTGCTTTTTCAAACGGTAATATTACGAATGCACATGCACATATATTACAGTTATAACTCGATAATATAAATATTTTAGTAGTAATTCAATTTTTTCGCCACTGTTAGCAAATTGGCTAGCTACAACATTTGAAAACATGCTAGCTAACCACCAAGTATTTTGAATGGAGTTTTATCATGTATTCTTATCATACAATATCACGTGTTGTGCTGGTTCATTAATAAGTATGTAGTAACAAAGACCAGACCTGGGACAGTCTTATGTTCAACCCGTATGTCTCACGTCCCAAAACGAGTAATTTTTTCAAAGTTATTATTACCATGGTCAATTATTGTATTCTTATCAACAGTATAAATGCGTTATTCGTTTTACTAGACAATATCCACAAGATGCATTAGCACTGCATTAAAGCTGGGGTACATAACTTTCAAACCACAAAGCATGTAACTATGTAATAGCAGATTCACTTGTTCCTCGTTCTCAATGTTTGGCTCTGTTTCTAGTTTTCACATTCAAGATTCAATACTTTATTTGCCATTTGCAGTAAAACCACAGTGGAAAAACTGTGCAAGACTACCCCAGTGTGCACCCGACAGAGAATATTGCACACACCGGAGCTCTTGCCACATGTGTATTTTTGCCCTCTGTTTTTAGACCCTCAATCAGCTTTTAGCCCAAACAGTCATATAGTGACTCGCAGGTCATATGCAAATGATAAAATCTGAGCGTGATGTCATAGCGGTACAATGACATCATACAATTACAGGAGTGAGACAGAAGGGGCGGAGTTACATGGTTGTGCCAAAAGTTATTCAAATTAGCATGGATGGCTTTTAATAGTAACTCCAGGTCTGTTTTGACAAAGTTGTAATTGAAGTCATGCATTTTGAAATACTTTTATATTGAATATCTGGGTCCTAAAAATGGTTAGGTATGTGTAACTTCTCTGTATTGTATTCCTCAAAGGTTTGATTAAATAACGCAGCCTAAACAAAAAGTGGCATATGTGGCGCAGACTCAAGCCACAAGCAGCAATCTGAGCAGAAGTGTGAAAAATGAAAGAAAACAGAAGTCGACAAGTTAAACCATAACCAGTGGATGTGTGAAATAAGCTGTGGTAGTTATTCATTTATTCTATGGTCTTAAAAAGGTCTGAAAAAAGTATTTGTTACAGGGTCATGGAGATACATTTACCAGGACATAGACATCTGTTATTAGTCTGTTTAAAATGGGAACTTTTCTCAGTATTTTCTCTGCATAACGTAACATATATATCTAACAGAATATATCAATCTAATAATACTGTGCATTTATGTCTTCTGGACTTTCTATTGGATTGTCAAACTGTATATAATTGTGAAAACCCAATAAACAAGTGATAAAAAAAGTTCGGAAAAAGACTTTAAGAAATCTGTAGGAACTCTGTATACAGTTTTACTATCATCACCCTTACTCCAGTTTCTTGTGTGCTAGATTTGAATCGTGGACTCTCTGTTAAAGCCCATGAAGCTGCTGAGCCATGTCTTCCACCAGGAGTGAGACGACTACGAACTTTGGACAGGTTAGTGTGCACTGATGGGGCTCTGTTTATCTTTAATCTGTGTGCAACATTAACCAGCAATGTCCGCCAGTGCACGTACAGCGCCGAGGAGTACCAGGCCGTGCACCATGCCCTCCGCCGCAAGCTGGGCCCAGAGTTCATCAGCTCCAGAGTGGCAGGTGGAGGCCAGAGGGTGAGTCTTTCCACCGGCTCCGACCACATCATCAATACGTAATGCTCCAATGAGTAGCGCCGGCGAAAACAAGGGGCAGATGTCCGAATAGCCACAAGAGTTTCAGCTGTTTCAAATGTCACACATCAAGGCCGACAAGTCATTAGCAAAGAATAATAAAATGTGTCTGTATTGTACCAGTTTAAGTTTTATAAATTGCAAATAGATTGAGAACTTAACTGTGACTGCAGGACTTCACGTAAGAATTAAAGTAACGTTGGTTTATCACACCAGTACTGGCAACTAGGGCTGCACAATTTGTTTTGTGTTCTGTTTTTGTATTTGTTGTTCTTGATGAATGTTGATGCGTTGATCTGTTTTGTGGAAAAACAAAAAACTCTTGGTACATTTTGATATGGATATCGCACGCAACAATATCGCGATTACAATATTTTTTCGATATATTGTGCAGCCCTACTAGCAACAACAATTGAAATCATGACACATGGTCCATAGCGCTGGTGTTAATCCTTAAGCACCAGAGCTTTTAAAACAATTAGGGGCTAAGTGGATGGCGCTCTTACCTCTCAGCAAGAAGGTTCTGGGTTCGAATCCCGGTCGGAAGAGGACCTTTCTGAGTGGAGTTTGCATGTTTTCCCCGTGTCTGCGTAGGTTTCCTCCGGGTACCGCTAAAAACATGTGCAATAGTTCAGGTTGAATACGTGTGTTTATAATTGCGAATGTGGATGAGAAAATCGCCTAAGGCCACAATCAGAAGTGATGTGTTCAATAACATGTACTGTCTCAACCAAATAAACCATAAATAAATAAGTATATGGATTACAAAGAAGCTCATCCAGTCTAACAATACAAGATAATAATAATAATAATGCATCGTTTTTATGTAGTGCTTTTTTGGACACTCAAAGACGCTTCACATGGTATTATTCTTTCACTCCATACACAGTGATGATAAACAACCACAATGTGGGTTTGGACACAACAACAGTTTGGCACTTTGCAGCCGCAGCCGCCCCACTGTGGCACCTGGTGTTCGCAGATACCGTTCCCAGATACCGTCAGACTTTACATTATTAATTTGAGAACGTAAGATCATTCTACAACATTCATGAACAAATGAGCAGATTCTGGTTTACTTTATCTTTAGTGAGTTTGTCTAAGGCCTGTGTGATATTCAAGATAAACTTTGGCACCTGTCGTCTAACACTTTGGAACAAGACATTGAAATCCAGAAAGAAGGATGTGCTTTGAAGATAGTGAGAGTTGTCCCCTGGTGCAGGTGTGTTATGTGGAGGGCCACCGCGTCATCAGTCTGGCCAACGAGATGTTTGGATACAACGGCTGGTCTCACTCCATCTCACAGCAGAATGTCGGTACGTCTGTGAACAGTGCACTCCCATCAGCCTCTGCTCTACTGCTGCTACTACTGCTACTGCTGCTTTACTACTACTGCTACTGCTGCTATACTACTACTGCTACTGCTGCTATACTACTACTGCTACTGCTGCTAAACTACTACTGCTACTGCTGCTATACTACTACTGCTACTGCTGCTATACTACTACTGCTACTGCTGCTATACTACTGCTATACTACTACTACTGCAGCTATACTACTACAACTGTACCACCACTGCTGCTACTACTACTGCTGTACCACCACTGCTGCTACTACTACTGCTGTACCACCACTGCTGTTACTACTACTGCTATACTACTATTGCTGTACCACTATTGCTGTTACTACTTCTACTGTACTACTACTACTACTACTACTACTACTACTACTACTACTACTACTACTACTACTACTACTACTACTACTACTACTACTACTACTACTACTACTACTACTACTACTACTACTACTACTACTACTACTACTACTACTACTACTCTTACTGGTACTGCTACACTACTACTATCTCCACAACTACTACTGTAACACCAGCACCATTACTACTACCAATACAACTACTAGTACTACTACTACTAGAAGTATTTCGTATTCTTTTGACTGTGTCTGGTTTTCTATTAGATTTTGTCGACATCATTAATGGCAAGTTCTACGTCGGCGTCAGTGCCTTTGTCAAAGTAACACTAAAGGTTTGAACTCAAGAAGATGTGTGTTTGTCTTCAATGTGTGGGTGTGTGTGTTTGTGTGTCTGAGTGTGTCTCTGTCTGTCTGTCTGTCTGTGTGTGTGTGTTTGTGTGTGTGTATGTCCTGTCTGTGTGTGTCTGATTGTGTCTCTGTCTGTCTATGCGTGTATGTGTGTGTGTGTGTGTGTGTGTGTGTGTGTATGTCTGCCTGTGTGTTTGAGTACATGTGTTTATCACTGTTTGCGTGTGTGTGTCTCTATCTGTCTGTCTGTCTGTGCGTGTGTGTCTGTCTGTCTATGCATGTGTGTGTGTTTGAGTACATGTGTTTATCACTGTTTGCATGTGTGTGTGTACGTTTGTGTGTGTGTGTGTGTGTGTGTGATAAACAGACACACATCAGTCCTGCTCTGTGCTTCCAGGACGGGGCGTTCCATGAAGACGTGGGATACGGCGTCAGCGAAGGCCTCAAGTCCAAAGCTCTGTCTCTGGAGAAGGCCAGGAAGGAGGCAGTGACTGACGGCATGAAGAGAGCTCTCAAGTACTGCTGCTTCTCTTTCCCTTTGTCACATTATATAAAGACATCCTCCATTATCGCTAAAGAATATGACGGATGTTGGAAACTGTTAAGAACAAATGTAATAACTATAATGTTTATGTTCTGTCAAGAAGATTTAATTAATCAAAAGAAATACCAAAAAGAAAATCCTGTGTCAATTTCAAATAATAAGCAGCCAATGAGTCACACAGTCTCTCCTCGGGCACGTTTGAACCTGTGCACCCGTTCACCTGTGTTTCCTGGATTATCCAAGGACACTCACACAGCTACAATAACATATGATATAGATCCTTGGTTACACTACTCGAAGAATCAATTTCATTTATTTTTGTCTGGCCCTAAATCACAACCGCTTCACAAAGTCATCATCAACAACAGATCAGAGAATCAAACAGTCACAGTGAACATTGTGCATGCATCTAAAACAAACACATTGAAGCCATTGGTCCCTAGGGAATGGGGTGACCAATGTCCAGATCATCGCTCTCTGGATTGCATGAAACCACATATTGTCACATAATCGTGTTTTATAGTTTCACTTCTTTGAGCCCCTATCTCCATTATGCAAGGCAACCCAGAAATGTATAGGAACTGGTGGCTTTTTTTCCAAGAATGGGCAGCTTTGCCATCAGAGAGGAGATGGGAACATAGGCTACTGAGAACTGGGGGATGGAAACTTCTGCTCAGGGTCAGAACAGAAGGAAGGAAGAGTGTCTGTTATTAGCATTTTAAAATAGAAAATCTGTTTATGTGACAGTACATGGCTTCACAAATAGACGCATTCTCAAATATAAATATCTGCCAGAGTGTGCCAACTTTCAAGCACAACTCAAATTGTAACACAAATAAGATATTGTGATGTATTTTGTTCACAGAATACTTATCAAAATCTTTCCTCAGCCTTTTTAGTACCAAGCCTCATTAATGTGCTGCTTTTGCTTTAGATGTTTCGGAAATGCACTTGGAAACTGCATTTTGGACAAAGAGTATCTTGTAGCCATTAACAAAATTCCCAAGCAGGTAAAATGTATTATTATTTATTTTACTCTTTTCTTACAAACAACTTAACACGTTCTGTTTTGGCAAAGCCTCCTGCGCCTCTGGACCCGGCCCAAACCAAGCGATCAGCGGGTGAACCTGCAGTGGAGAAGGCACGCATCTCTAGCTTTGTCCAAGAGGAAAATAAAGTGAAGGCGGAACCTCCAAGAACTCCTTTTGAACCGAGAACCTTAAACTTCCAGCAGCACCTGGAAAATCAAAGTAACTCTGCGCCTGCGCTCAATGGTAGGACAGAGACGTTTACTTCCAGGTAAAGTTTCCAAAGTCAAAATACAGATATAAAACAGAGGCCTGTGTATTTCTCATGAGTGATTTCTTTCAGACCCAATTCAAACACCCTTGATGGATCGACGCCGGCAGACCCCAAGCAACTGAGAAAGCTTCGACAACAACAGCTGCAGCAGAAGTTTAAACAAGAGATGGAGGCTAAGAAGAAGCAAGAGAAGGAGCAGCCACAACAGACAGAGGGCGCCAGTGAGAACCGCTCCAGTGGAGGTACTGCATTACAATGCATAATACAGCCTCAATGCACACAGCAATTGGTAAAGGAAAAGTCTCATTATTAATATCGTTGATAACACAGGCACGTTTAATCTTTTTCAGATTGCCGTGTGCCTGTGTCGACTCCTCCTGTGGCGCCCAAGGAGGAGTACTCAGCAGGTGCATTAATCAACCACTAGAGGGCCTTGTGAACAAACATTATGTGAATCTTGCCTTTTGGTGCAAAATGTGTCATAAAAGACCGTTTGTGCATTGAATGTAGTTTCTGTGTTTCAAATCCATGGACTTCACACTTTCATAAATAAGACCATTCTAGTTTTTTCATGTAGTTCTTAGTTTTAAATCTGCCCTGATGTTTTACACAGGTACTTTACCTTTAATATTGACGCATCACAAGTGCAATGCCACGCAGGATAGACACGTTTATAGACACAATGAGCCAGTCTGACTCATAGACTGTTGCATGCTGTCTGCAGATGACCCTGAGCTCTGGGACTTCACTCTGGAAGGGGCTGATGAGTTCCTGGCCCCAGTGGAGGGCCCCAGCAGAGGACCCCATCCGAGCACGCCCAGTAACCACCAAATGCAGACGCGCAGTAAGACCCCGCAGAGGCCCCCCTGCAGACCCCCGGAGCAAACCCACAGTGGGCAGTATAGAGAGCAGCATCCGCAGAGCAGAGGTGAGTCCGCAGTGTATGTCCATGGTCTTTGTTCTTTTTAACATGTAGCTCACCTGTCCCAGCAGAGGCCTACAGTCCATACAGACACAGCCAACACATGAAGAGGCGCAAACTCGAAACATAACCATTCATGTTTATTTATTTTGTATTATGAGTGTTTTAATTGTATTCAGTCTGAATCTGAAGAATGGGTGGGAGGTTTTAGTTGCGGTAAAAGGATTGAATTGTTTGTTGAATAAAGTGCAGAGCATCAGTTTAAATAATTTTTATTTGTTTGGTTTTTTTTTTTTTTACATTTTGTACAACGTGAAAAACATACACAAAACAGACACTGAATCACAGAAGTTGTCAGAAGCCAACAGAAATCTGATGCTGAACAAATATCACGTGTCAGAGGACACAGTACACCATGTCTGTAGTTCAGGAGCACATCGAGGGCTGAAGCATCGTGAGCTTGTGCTGGACAGTGACAGAACAAGTGGGAGATAAGATCACTGTAGCTGCATGCAGATATCCTACGGTCTGATACTGGAGTTGAGCGTGTGAAGTTGCGTTTAACAGATAACACTTGATGACTTTGAGGAAGGCAAAAAGAAAGTTGATATCAAAAAACATTGAAGTCAGTAAGAACCCGCTTCAGCATGCAAATGTGTCTTTCCCTCATCCCTATAAAACTTTACACATTGCATATTCTGCATTGCAGTAATTTATTTTTTCTCTAGAGAAGAATATCTACGAGCAGGCGCGAGCCACAATGACAGCATGACACTCATGTGAGGGGCTGCAGGAGTACGGCCAGCGTGAGGCACTGACCTTTACACGGATCGCTCACACCAGAACAAGTGCTTCCAACAAACGGTTCAATGAAAAATGTCAGCCAAACCATAGATGAATTGTAGCCCATTAAACCGTGCGCAGGTGCAGAGTGTGCCCTCTGTGCTCCTGGTCCTACATGTGTGGCGTGTCCCACACGGCTACAGCTGATGAATGGAACGTTTCATTAGTGAAGATGCAAGGCACTAAAGTGTTCCTCTGATTTGTGACGATGTGTGCGGAGTAGATCAACACAGGCATACTCCAGTGACAGAGCAAAACGTGAAACCATTACCTCACATAAACATACTGTTGTATATACACAAGAAAATAGAAAAGGGGCAGGGTGTCATACGTACAAGAGCTTAATAAACCACAGGATCAAACCTGTGCCTTGAAGAGACCAAGAGAAACAACCCTGCAATTGCACTTTTTATATTCCTTAAACTACATGTTGTTTAACAACCTTTAATAATAATTACAGTGATACAACATCAAAATCTGATGGTTCAATAAAAGTCCATAGAGAACATTTTCTTAAATATATGCATACAAAGACAGAGACCACAGAAGAAGAAGCCCAAACGTGTGATTGGAGAATCAAATATTGTACTAGAGGTTCTTACCCATTATGACTAAACCAACACCAGCATCTCTGCGTAAACCACGGGATCTGACGAAGCCCTGACACAATTCAAACAAACCAGAGAGTAGCATACTTTGAACTGGACATGTTTGGCAGAAACTCACTAAAGTGAAAGGAATATTCTGGACAAGATCTCTGTACAATTCTGAAAACACATTGGCCAGATGGTGGTCTACAGAAGCATCATCTCAAGGTCTAAGATCATGTGGTGGTCAACACCAAGACAATGCGTTCGAACAGCAGATTTACTGGCTGATGGGTCAGGTGGAAAGGGGTCAAATAAATCTGTATGATATAAACCTCACAACAGCAGACTCACAGTGACATAAATAGACTTTGTATGGAATAATAACCCTGTAAATATGTATGTACAAACTTAAGATGTGTTTGGGAGATTAAGGCCACAGTTAATAGGGATAATATGCATTTTCCTTTGCTCTTATTGCATTGTTCTTGTACAGAAAGCCCCCAGGAGCTTTCTGTACAGCACACCTAACCTGCTCATTCACCCGTCTAACTTACCAGTCCTTCTTCATAACATTCATCCGACACCTTCACTTCCTCCATATGACCTTCAAGAACTCTATAAACCAGTTCCTTATGAGCTACCTGTGCCACCTGGGACATCCTGGGGTTTATTATTAAATAACAAGTGGTTCATACTAATTATTGGCATCAAGTCAGAATTAGGGCCCAATGAGGACGTTTCACATCTTTGGCTGCTGCCAGTTACGCCTTTAGGAAGTTTATTTCTCAGACTCAACTGACCAACATGTCACAGTTGAATCCATAGCCGATGGCAGGATAGTTTTAGGTACAAGATGAATATTGCACTCTCCCACAATCACCAGGCACACTTTTCAGCCTGGAAGGACACAGCCAACCCAATCACAAACACACAAATAAAAAAAGCATTATATGTTGCCATATGTAGAACAGAAAACAAAAGAGCGAGTGGTTTCCATTTGGGGCCTGTGCTCTTTGCTCTGTGTGGTCCTCAGTCAGCCTAATGTGGGCTATGTGGGCCTCAAGTTAGCACCTCCAGAGTTCTGTGGCGCCGTGCCCGTTCCGATATGGTATCCCTGGTGCAGCGGCACCGAGCCGGTGGTCGGTGGCTGGTACTGGGCCAGGGGCTGTGAGGGGTTAATCATGCTGACTTGACACGTGCTTGTGGGTCCGGCCCACTGAGAGGAGCTGTAAGGGGCTGAGGAGTAACCAAAGCCTGGGGCCACTGGACCCAAGGAGCCTTTTCGTTGGCCCAGAGGGGCTGAGGAATTGGTCTGGTTTGGGATTGGAGCGGAAGCGGAGCAAGTGGGGTTTGGTGACGAAGGGAGCGTTGGGCACAGGTAGGCTGGAGCAGAGTATTTACGACCCAAGTTGGCTGGAGGGATATTTGGCTAAAGGGGGAAGATGCTTGTGGTTATTCTCTGCAACCAGATTCCTTATTAAAAGTAAAAATACAAAGAATGACTGTGTGCCACTACTTACATCATGTCCTACTTGTGATCCTGTTTTTGGACCCTTCTTACACTGAGACAAACTGATGGCATCCCGTGCAAAGTTGTCTACCAGCTGATGCAGGTCATCGGTGAAAGTGCCCTTGCCCTTTTGCGAGTGGCCGGCAGAGCCACCAGACGACTGGTGGTTGTGAACATGGCCTGTGCCGTTGGTTGAACCAGTCACCAATGATCCTGGAAATGAAGGCAGATATAAGCCTCATAACATTTTGTGCGATGTTGTGTTACCTACTCCAGCGTGTCTGCACCTACCAGGGGAGCTAAGGATTGGCATAGAAGCAGAGGAAGTCATCAGAGATGTTCCACATGCAGCTTGTGAAGCTTCTATTGTTGCATCTAATACTGATCCAGACAAAGAGTCTTGCTTTGGAACTGGCTCTGAACAATTAGAGTTTTGGCCAGATAAAGGAGTTCCTACAAATGTGTTTGTGTTAGTTATTTATGTCAAATGCCAAGGCTGTGAAGATCAGGGAGTGTCCATACCGGGGTGGGAGGGGCTCCGTGCTGGTTTGTGAGTCTTGCTCTTCAATCTGCGGCGGCCTCCAGCCATCGCCACAGCAGGTGAGATAACCGAGGCTGGGGGGGCTTTTCCACTGCGTGTGAACAGGGACTCGATTTCCTGCTGCTGCTGGTTCTGCAAAGCCTGAATCTCCAACATGTGTCTGCAAGCACAGAACAAGGTTCAGCAGCTGCTAATTCTCTGACTCATCTCTACTCCACGAGTCACACACTTTTCCCGGAGACGGCTGATTTCCTTCTGCAGTGCTTCATCCTCAGCGTCAGAGTCGTTGTCATTGTCACTGCTGTAAGGCGTGTGCACGTTGTGGGGGTCAGAGGTGGACGAGGACGGCCCATTCTGCAAAGTGGTCCCATGTGAATCTTTGTGATCTTCTGCAGGAGGAGAGCTCACTGTGGGGCACACTGACATCAGTACAGCTGTTTAAGGTCATAGTCATGGTGTGGTGGTAAGAGCGGCACAAACCTGTGACAGAGAAGCGGCCAACCCTCGACCCTGCACTAGACGTGGGGGGAGTGCTGGAGCTGGTGGACACCTGGAATCGCCCAATCGTTTTGGTGTTCTCGCTGTTGGGTTCAGCACAGGGACCTGGGCTTCCATTTCTCTTGTCAGTGGCACTTATTTCTTTGAACAGACAGGACGATCGGTGAAGAGTATTTTCTGGACTCGATGGAGAAGAGGATGATGACGAGGTGCAGGATGATGTCATGGAACAGGAAGAGGCCACAGTAGAGCCATCTGGTACATTGTTTGGGGCATCAGGGGCAATGGAGACCTGAACAGGAGCAAAGTCAAGAAATAGTCTTCAACTTACACCAACCCACATCCATCTCAAATGGGATTTCCACTTACCTGGAAGCGTCCAAGTGTGAAGCCAGTGCCGGGGTTTTGTGTTGCAGGAGTTCCCTGAACGGTCTCTGGGCTGAGAGCTCTTCTCAACTGGGCATCTAAATGATTGATTTGTTGCGGATTTGGTCCAGGAAATGGTGGTATGAGCTCAGCAGAAAGTGTTGCAGATGGATCAAAGCCTGCAGGTAACGTCTGTAGAAATACAAAATGAAAGAACATGTCATTTTAAATAGTCTAAGCAGAGATGCCTCCACTCCCCCTTCCATGCACACTCCCTCCAGTGAGTCCTGAGTCTTCCTACAAGTAAAAATAATAAGTACTATGCAAAAATTAATCTAGCATATAGTACTAGTAGTTGGGGGATGGAGACTAATTTACAGTCAACGGCAGATAAAGTAACAAAGTGAGTTGAAAGAATAGTAAGAATGAGCAATGACTACAGTACTGCCACTATGGCACATTCACCTGTAGGCAGCAAAAAGAAAGCAGCATGTACTTTTGTAAGTGTACTTGCCTGAGCTCGAGGTTTAGTTGGCGGGGTTTGTGCGTGTCCAGGGGTGGGGGCAGGTGTCCCAGACGTAAGGGGGAGGTTGGATGGAGGCACCAGAGCCTGACCTGGTGGTGGAGACGAAGTGCCTGCTGGAGGGGAGGAGGTTCCTGTGCTCTGAGAAGGATCCACAGAAGAGGACGTGGTAGGTGGGTCTTTAAACAGTGAGCGCAACTTTTTATCCAGGGCTTCGATGTCATCTCTGCCCCCTGTCTTAGCCTGGACCTCCAGCCCTTCAGCCTCTGCCGGCTGAGGCTGGATTTGGCCCGGAGTAGATATTGAAGATGGTGGTTGCTGGTTAGAATTGGCCACTGGTGGATTCTGGGTGCCTGGTTGCTGTAGGGGATTTGTGGACTGTATGGAAGTAGAAGCGCCATTAAAAGGCTGCTGATCAGGGACTGGAGTGGAGCCATTGTTGTTAGGCACAGCAGCATTAGAAGACACCGGGGGACTCGTCAGCCCGATAGGTTGAGAGGGTGGTACTTGAGGGGTAGGAGTGACAGTTGAAGTGGGGGCAGTAGGCAGTTGTGGAGGCTGAGGCTGAGCACTCTCAGTTGTCAGCTGCAGAGGCAGAGCAGGCACTACTGACGGAGGCATTTGTGTTTGACTGGGTGCGTTAGGTGGGGAGACTGTCTCTGTGGTGGTGGTGAAAGTAGTGGGCACGTCGGGGTAAGTGGTGCTTGTGGTCGATGGCACAATCTCTGGAGAGAAATTGGTGATGCTCGGTTCATGGTGCACCTCTGTAGGTGGAACTGAAACTGTTTTTTGCTCCATGATGATATTAGATTTATCACTTATTTCCTCATTAACTTGTTGGATTTTCTGAAGTCCTTCTTGGAGAACTGCCGCTGGTGCAGATGAAGAAAGGCTCAGGGATCCAGTGGTAACTGCCAAAGAAAAAACCATATTTATGCAAACCTATTCCAAATATATCAGACTTTGCTATTAGTTTATAGCATACCAGTGGATGGATCATCTCCAAAAGAGTTGTTAGAGGACGGGTTGCCAAAGAACTGCTCCCTAAGACGAGATTCGGGCACAGGACTCACAATGAAGCGCCTTCCTGCTGAGTGCACAACCTGAGCTGTAGTGCTGGGAGAAATGCCTGCAAAAGGGCAAGACATACAATTAAGGATTTCAAATTCAACCAGAGGCTGATTTAAGGCTATCATAGACTTACCTGGCAACATGGGCACAGATAACTCCTGTTGTTGCGGTCGATCACTCATCTGGGAAAATAATAAATATCATTTATAATCTGTTTAATATTTATCATAAATCAATTATAACCAAGAGTCATACTTGAGGGAACGCTTCCTTCATGCCGTCTCCTTTTTCATCTGCCATTTCTATAACTTCTCGGATTTGTTCAATGAAAGACTCTCGCTCACTCTCTAGGATGAACTCACTCAGGACCTGATTAAAAGATAGAAGACAGTTCAAATAAAAATGAACAAATAAGGCAGCATTAATGATCATTACCATGATCTGCGCAATCTCCTCTGGATTATCCCCGTCCAGGTCGAACCTGAACGTGACCATCTTCCTGTTGTGTGTCTCCAGCTGACACTCGGCAACTCTGTCTCCAACATTAGAGATCTACCAAAAGAACATAAATAAGTGTTGTGCTTAACTACTACAAAACCAAACGCACATGAACAATGAGCTTACACTCAGAACATTGAGCTTGGCTCTCGCACACTTCTCGTGGCGGGAGCGGCTGCGCACTGATCTCCTCTGGTGGCGTTTCAGGGAGCGGCCCTCATGACGTCCTCCAGAAGTCGAGTTTCCTTCATTTCCATCACTCAGACCTGAAGCTGCGTCTGACAAGCAGCTGTGGCAGAACAACATGCTTTTACAATAAGTAAAGCTCCACTACAAAAACATAAGGGTCAAGGGCAGACTGTACTGACCTCTCCATGGGCTGCTGCACTGGAGCTGCAGAAGGCTGCTCAGCTGCTGTGGCCTGCGGGACACTGACAGGAGTCTAGAACAGTCACAAAACACACATTTCACTTGTGTTCTTCAATGATTCTCTACAACTAAACTATGAATGAACAATGAGGGCTTAACATGCAATAATGAAAAATAGGAGGAATGTGAGCGAGGATAGTAAGAAAACAACACCCAGAAGAGTTAAATGAAGTAATGTATGTTTCCAAAAGTATCTGCTGCATTCCCTGGACAGGGTAATGTTTGGGCTCACATTACATTCACTAGATAAAGACATTATCCCAACATAGCTGTTGGGGTAGTACCTGCAGAACAGAAGGGCATGTAGCCTGATAGAGAAAATAAAGATGCTCTGCATCAAAAGGAGGAGACACGATGGGTGGACTTGGGTCGCAGGCCCAAGGCTAATGGATTCATGCAGGAACGAGCAGCATGCAGAAGTAAAGGAAAGAAGACAGTTCAGCCAATGAAAACTGAAAAAGATGCTTAGGAGGCTCAGGAGGCTAATCACCTGAAGCTGTTGGCTTGTTTGTCCTTGTGCCAGAACAGGGCTCTGGCTGACCAAAACAGCGTCTGCTGCAGGGGCCTGTGCAGGGGACAACTGAGACGAGCTCTGAGAAACCCCCAGCTGTACAGGAATCTAAAACACCACAAAGAAAGGGAAAAGCACTCTTAATTAGTAAAGATAAACTTTGACATTGTCTGTTGCTGGTATTTATTTTATTGTTTTTTCCAAAAATACAATGTATACACAGAGTACTTTTTGACTGAGGGCATACTTACACGTGCCTGTACATGACAAAATAGCACATAGGCAAGTCAAAAGAAAATGGGACAATTTATCTACCTGAGGGGGGAGAGTTGATTGGTAGTAAACGCCGTACTATAAAGAAACAAAACAACACAGGATAAGAGGAAAATTTGAAAAAAATAAATTGAAGACAGGGGTCTTCTGGGGGAAAAACATCTGCTATCGCTGCACCAAAGCAAAATGTAACTCAAATGAGACTAATAGTCCAGCTGAAACCTGCAAGAGCCTCGTCTCACAAGCAGACAATCATTTACACATGTTTTGATTATACCTGCTGAGCAATCTGGCTGCTGGGGGCAAGGGGAACCACTTCTCCATGGATGCTTTGACTCAGAGGTAGAACCTAGAGAGAAAAAGAGCTATGCAATGACTTCGGAACTTTGAATGAACGTAAATGTGATACAATACAAGATACTGACCGCTGGCAGCTGTGCTGGGTCACTTTGTGTCTGTGGACTTAACACTGGGGTCTGAAAGGGGGGTTGAACCGTGGGAGTGCTGTACGATACGGCCGGTTGAGCGGGGTGGGCATCAGGCGGAATAGATGAATGTGGAACTCTGTCTCCCACTACGACGCCTAGAGAAGAGGAAAATTATGTTTAATAAATGTTGCTTTAAAAGAGGCAAACTCGAGCAGTTTGAAAGACGCACCTCCTGAAGTATGAGTGTGATGGTCTGCCTCAGCCTCCTCAGTCTCCTGCTGACCAGACATTACATTTTGGCCTTGGACAGGGAGTGGCATTTGGCCGGACGTCTGAGGCACATAGGACAATGAGTGCGTGACACCACTGAGGGGGGTGGCCTGTGGAATGCTGTAGCTGGAGGATGTCAGGTTCTGTTGGGAGGGAGGCTGAGGAACCACTTGTGAGCTTTGCTGGTTTGGCTGTGGTGGCACATAGGGGGCAGACTGGAGCACTGGCTGGCCCATGGGCACCTCCCCAGTGGGCTGCAGAACTGGCTGCTGAAGAGGCACCACGGGGTTCTGCTGCTCATCTTCAAACCGTTGCTTTTCCTGATCTTCTCGAACCTTCGACACACGACAAACACAAACAGATGTAGAAAACGCAACAACAACTGGATCTTTTGACAGCTTTCATCTTCATTGGATATTCACCTTTTGCCTCTGTGCTCTTTTACGGCAAATTAGTGACGCTCTGTCCTTAATGGCTTTGGCTATGGTTTTGAGGTCACCGTCACATATGTAACCAGACTCAACCTACAAAGAAAATGAAGATGTAGTCAGAGTGTAAACATTCTCCACCACCACTTTTGGGAAACTCACCATCTCCTGAGCCACGTCTTCTGGCACATCCTTACTGAGATCGAAAGAGAACTCGATCGCTTCATTATCTTTGTACTTCCCTTTCAGTTTTTTCACATCTTCAATTCGGAGCCATAGTTTGATAGCCTCCATCTCCCCGTCATCTTCCTCCGCCAGCTCAACGCGAACCCCTGTATCCTCTTGGAAAAAGGCGTGGTTCAGCAGATCCTTGATGGAGTACCTAAAATGGCAAAAAGCAGCCACTGAGCGACCAAGTCATTGAGGGTTTCCTCCAAGTGTGTGCGAACATGAACCTTTCATCTTTGTTCTGGCGAATACAGCCCTCGATGATCTCCTTCACCTCCGGAATGGCCACCTTGTCAAAGCTGCCAGGCTTCACCCCCTATGGACACATACAGTTAAATAAAAGACACGCATTATTATTGGACCCCGTAAAAACATTTTTATCTTGCTGGTCCTACAATCTGGAAGCATCTTTTTTTTCATCTCACTTTAAGGCAATAATGAAAAGGGCAAAAATAATCTAGTAGGCCTGTAATTGAAGAATCTTATAATGAACTGCATTTGGTGCTTGTCAACATGAGGCCTCCTCCTGCTGGTTTTCAGGAAATTGTTTTTGATTTGGCTTTATTCTCCTAATGTATTTTAACATTTTATATCCATAGGATCAAGCAGATGACAATCAGCCAATCAGTTTCCAGTTAATTCCCTGTTGAGCTTCTGTATGGCTATTGACTCGGAATGTCTTATTTTATACATATTAAAAGAGATTTATATGGTCTTGTTGAGCTCTATAATCTAGATGATTTTTTGTCAAAACACAGCCAACGTCCTACTCATACAATGTCCTACTCATACATTGTCCTACTCACATAACTGTTTAAAGCCGCAGTGTTCAGAAAGGCACCCTTATGTACGCACAACTCCCTCATGTTTGCAGTCCTTCCTTTGAGAATTGAAATGTTCAACATGCATGTGCCTGTTTGGTGTGCAGGTACGGGCTTCTATACAGTGTGTACTGTACATTAAAGACCGTGTGGTGGGTATAGATATGAGCAGGTCGTTTACAGATAAGGCCTCATGAACAGGTTGGTTCACATTATGTAAAGTACAGAAACAAGCCTCGTCAGTCCTATGATTCATAACAAATGTTTTTGTCTCAAACATGGGTGAGACAATCTTGACCTCATGAGTTGGCATGCCTTTGGAATATGGTAATTCGTTTTTTGATCCATTTAAATAAATACGTTGTCATGATTATTTTGAAATGGCTCGAGTAAATGTAAAGAAGAGAAAGCGTTTCAGATTTGTGCAGCTGAAACCTGGACAATATTCCTGAAAATGTTAGACATAGAACTGACATGCACAGCTAAACACTATTTTTAATGTACTGTATTATTCATGATTTGAATGCCTTGTATGATTTTTTTCTTGTTTTGTTAGGTACTTTGAGCAGAGTTGTGTAGGAACTTTGCTATACAAATAATCTTGCCCAAATTGTGTTCGGTCTTGCAACAATCTGATCTTAATAGAACTCGTGGCTCAAGATCTCAACCTGAACCCATTTATTTATAAATAATACACTACTAAATTAAAAGAACACGATACAAGACAAACATACCATTGTAGGTAGGGATGCAAAGAGGTTCCAATATTAATTAAATGTACTTACTGGCTGATCTTACCCAGAACATTGTAGTATTAAGTTTAGCTCATATAAAGTTCTGAATTACTTGCAGGATAAAGAGTAGTTAAAAACACAATTGGACACCATTTGTGATAAGTTAGCTGTGATTTCAGTCACTGGTATCTGTTCAGTTTGAGTCCTTACTCAAAAACAATAAATTCAAACAATAACAATTGATTAATTTCTTATTAGTTCATATTATGTGCCTTCTGTGTGGTACATAATAATTGATCTAATGCCGATAAATATGGTCTTTAAGTGTTTTAAAAGGTGTTTCTTCCTGTATGAAAAGGTGACACACATCTTCAGAGGAAAGACTTACACTGGTTACTCTGCGGTAGATCTGTGCAGCGTTCTGGCACTCTGAGTACGGGTACTCTGAGGTGGCCATCTCCAGCATGCACATTCCAAAGGCATACACATCCACTGACTCGTCGTACTTCTCCTCATACATCTCAGGGGCCATGAACTCTGGGGTACCTTAAATCAAAACAACTATTCAGAACTCCTAACTGATTTAGCTCCTTTGCCTCTCTGCACCTCTAACCCCTCTGGGGGTTGAGGAAGAGGAGGATGAGATGATTGACCAGTCTGATGCCATCTTCTTAAGCTGAGCCTGTGAGGTGAAAGGAGGAGAAGAGAGAGTGGAGGAGAGAGGGGAAAAGAAAGCAAAAAGGAGAAAACAAAAAAAGGAGGAAGAATCTGCACTTAGTTAGTCCGCAAAAAAGATGGCACTTGTTTGTCTGTGTAAGACCGAACCATGGTAATTAAATAATGTGCTGTGAGCAACATGTAGGACACACTTCTGTTTTGATTTAACCATTTTGGATCTTCTAAATCTGAGGAAGATAAAAGGTATGGTTTGGCCAACATTGTGAGTTGACCTAGACTAGCTTTGGAAAAAACTTTCTGAAAACACTCACCTTGGCAATAAACTTACTGTGTCCTCTTCGCCTAAAGAGAGCATGATAACAACAAAGAAAGCTGATCCCAAAGCTGGTTAGGTGCTCACCAGGGTGCCTCTTACACATCACTTTTGGTCAGTCAATGAGAGATCAATTTCAAATGTAGGTCTTACACAGAAAAACAGGGTTATTTGACAGTGTGTACTGGTGTGTTGAACTGCACACATTGAAACTTACCAGGCTCTCATATACTCACACACTGACCAGCAGTACCCTATTCATTCCATACAGCAGAATGGGGCACAGCTGAAGCTACAGCCTAAGTTTTAGAAACATACCCAAAAACAAGAAAAGAAAAAGGAGGAACGTAAAATGTGAATTTCCTCCCAGGAATAAAAAACGCTCAAAAACTCCAGTCCTGCAATATTACAAACAACAGTAAAGCCAATCAAACTCCTGTTGAAGCAAACCCATAGAGATACGTTAAACATTATAGATGTAACTTGCAAACAGACCACATATTTCCAAACCACAGGACAAAGACCACTCTATCGCAAATGCACAAGGCCATACCTTTAGCCATAGCCAGGCTTGCCTGCAGAAGTAGTGAAAGGAGCTCCTAAGACAAATAATTGGTACTATCTACATTTATTGAACATTTCAAGAAAAACAAGAAAATTGATCTGAAGTCATAGTGTTTAAAATGCAGATTGTGACTTAATTTGGTCTTCACCGTGGGTGTGGTTTGAGGAGAGCTGAAACACAGTGGTCTGTTTTCATCAACGTACAACACATTATATCTTATACCAATAACACACATTTGAATTGAGAAGCAAAACCACTAGGATTGTGTACTGGGTTAAGGTCTTACCTATGACACTTTTGGCAAAGGATGCCCTTTTGAGCGTGGCCAGTCCCAGGTCGCCGATCTTGACAGATCCAGTTGGGCCTGTGATAAATATGTTGTCACACTTGAGATCCCTGTGGATAATGGGTGGGGCCCGAGTGTGAAGGAAATGAAGGCCCTTGAGGATTTGTCTACACCAGCTGCGCAGCACCTTGATCTTCATCACCTTAAACCGTTTCAGGTACCTGCAAGCAGAACGCCATTTTTAGAAGAGTGGGGAGGATCTTTTTGCGAAGTGCTTGTTTATTTTGGGACTTACGTCTTTAGTGTGCCCGATGTCATGAGTTCAGTGACCAAGACAATACACTTCTTTCCTTTGGAGGGCCCTTCCCAGGAGTCATAAAAACGAACTATGTTGGGATGTTGCAATCCTTTTAGCATCCCGGCTTCTTCTTTAAAACGCTGCCGCTCAGTTTTGGAAAGTTTGCGATCCTAGAAAGTATAAAGAAAACCAACGATAACGCACTGAGTATGTGTCTACTTTCATCTGTCAGCGGTGTTCCATGGCACAAAGGGGATAAGAAAGGTCATCTGGATGAGGTTTTATCATTAAAACCATTTTCTAACTTTCATACACTAATCAGAATTCTGCAGAAATAAGTGTGAAAACGAATATAAAAATCATCTTTCCAGTGTGTTCTTCTCTTGACCTACATTCACACACATGGTCGAAGTGCACAGACTTACTGCCGTCAGGATTACATGTCACAAACATAAACATTTAGCATGATTAAACGCAAAAAGGTCAGATTGTGGTACTTTGGGCATATTGCAACAAGTAGAAGTAGGAACTGACCTACTTTTGAAGGTCTGTATAGCTGTACATTGCCCCAGGCACACTGTACGTGCGGCATGTGCTATACACCCAACCCTCAAGTCTAGTACGACACTGACGACAGACAGTGGTCTTTTCATTAAACACTGACCAGTTTAAAGATCGCAGTGGACCTGCTGTATGGCCCATATCTATCATTATAGTACATATTTTGAGGAATGCTTCTCATTGACTTAATTTCAATGTTTTGAATTTGAAATTTAAAATCTTGTTTGCATTGTGAGTTTCCTACAGATGAAAGGATCTTTTTTTTTTTTTTACTTTGCCTTTGAACACCGAAACATAGGTTATTTACATTATAACAACCAAAATAGAAGGCTGAGATTGTAAAATCAAAATCAAAACAAAAATGCAGAAATAGGAAAACTATGGAAAATATAATAATAGTAGGAAATGGTAATAGTTTGAAAAGCTCAGCTTGGGTTATAAAAAAAATAAAATAAAACATTACATTCAATTTTTTTTTTAATAATAATAAAAATATGACAGTGACTTTTGATGTGCGATACTTTCCACATAATTTACAGTATGCACATTGCCACCAGATGTGGACCCAGTGGATTCATAATGTAAATTCCTTATCCTGACAGAAATTAAGCCTACGCCAAATGAATTAATAGGTCATCAAGTACAGCAACTTCTGCTCAGTCCATATAAAAATACTTTTTGTTTTCAAGTGCCACTGTAAGTAAGTAAATTTTATTTTTTAGAGCACCTTTCACAGATAAAAATCACAAAGTGATGTACAAGGTAAAAGCGGATATGTATATACAATAGAAATAAGACAAAAATAGGAATTAACCTAAAAACAAGAAATTAACCAAAAGCTTCCCTAAAATGAAGTGTCTTTAGTCCCTTTTTAAAAGCATCGGCAGAGTTGACCACACGGAGGGACAGAGGCAGGGCGTTCCACAGTCTGGGGGCCACGGACTGGAAGGACCGGTCCCCCCGGGTCTTATAGCGGGTCTTTGAAACCGTCATCTTATGTGACACCAGAGCAGGTGTATTAGAATCAGCCAGCCAGCCTTTGTATCACTGCTTTCTTAATTATGATTTATGAGCATTAGTAAAAGATTACTGTAATGATTCTAGAGCCAGGGCCTCTGTAACTGTACCAGACAACAGAAATGCATGATAAAGCACATCTAAAAATAGCCAAACTCAAGAAAGCAGCAAGAGACAGATGTTTTCATGTTGAAGATTATTTGGTTGTGACACTGCATAGAAATTGTGTTACTGCGAGTCTTCTAAAACAGCACTGAAACTGCTGACAAGAGAACAGAATCGGTGAGTCATTTCATTTAACAACAAAAAAAACATGAGATTCTAATTTGCAGTTTTGTGCCTACTGTGTAATCCAATTAAACACAGCAATTGGACACAAACCAAAAATAGGTTATAAATTAAACTGCTGATGTTAAGGTAAAGATGTGGGTCAGCAAGTCTGAAGCAACAAAGTCTGAGAGGTCATGACCTGCTCATAGAAGCAGCTGGAGACAATCAGCAGCAAAGCTGCAACATTTCTTCTGGTCTGCTGAGTGCTGAATATAACGCTCAGATCATTTAACTAAATGCTTTGTTCATGTGTTTGGCCAAGTAAAAGTTAGACACACTTCAGCAACTGTGTTAGTGAAAAGGGAGAACAAGCAGGCAGTGTGTAGGAGAGGACTGGCAAGAAGATAAATGAGTAAGTAAAAAGAGGAGGTTCTGGATCCATTTCTTTCTGAACTTTCCATGCGCTGACCCACTTATTGTTCAAACATGCCAGAAACATGAGCTCTGCAAGAAATGTGGTTATTCACTGGTGGGTGAAATGGGTGGACTATTTAAAAAACTGAGACAATGGCAGTGGACAGATGGCTTTCCAGGCGTGTGCTTCATTTTATCCAAACTTTACACAGTGGGGTTATAAATGTTAGCAGCCTCTGACAAGCCATGACTTCAGCAAACAGGCTCTCCTCACAGAGCAACTGAGGGGATTGTCTCAACATTTGGCTTACCCCTCACCCTCACAAGAATGTGTATCAAATGTCCTGAGCACTATAGCTCATAAATCAAAGACTACGATCTCATGGTGTTGAGTTGAACACAGTTTGTGCATCTACTGAGCAATTAGAAAAACCTAACAAAGAATTTCCACTCACAATTATATTCAGACCTGTTAAGATGACGGCCATCTAAATGTTTGTTAATTCATACACACCAGGGGTGCTCAATACGTCGATCGCGATCTACCAGTCGATCGCGATCTACCAGTCGATCGCAAAGGTAGTATTGGTAGATCGCATTAAATAAATAACAAATTACACATTCTAAACGAATATATACAAAAAACTCCAGGCAAAGTGGAGATTTTTGAAAACTCCGTTAATGCATTTGTGTGTAGACAGAGATAACCGGAGTTTTGCGTTCTCGCACGCCACAGTACCCCCCTAAATTCCTCTGATCACTGAAGCATGGATCATACTACCTTAAAAACTGTTCGCTGTGAGATGCTCGCAGCAGCGAACACCCTCGCTCCACATCAGAGAGCAGCAAAGTAATCGCGGGGACTCACGCTCGAAAACAACCAAACCAGGACTAAACCAGGACTAAACCAGGACTAAACCAGGACTAAACCAGGACTAAACCAGGACTAAACCAGGGCTGAGGACGGGGTCAGTGCTTGTAAACATACGTCTTACTCTTTACTCTGAGTGTCTTCTATGACTGTAAAAGTGCCGTTACCGGCGTCTGCATCAGAACTCCGCCCACTTCTGTGTTTTTCCCCAACACAGGACAGGACGTAAGAGACGCACATGTTTGGAATGTTACGAATGTAATTGATAACGCAGATGTGTGGATGCAAATTATTTTATAAACGGAGGAGGGGAAATATTTGGATTTAAAAAAAACAGGCATGGCACATGGACATGGCACCACAGTCAAATGATCTGTGTTTTACTAAGTAATGTTTTACTGACACTTAGGTGACTGCACATGCGCAAACAACCGCGCTCAGTGCAGGAAAGCTAAACCACAACAAACTTGTCAGCGAGTTACCACCAATTTTCCGGACTATGCATCCCCGGCCGATTCAATTCAGTGCAAGTCATAAGAGTAAACTCGGGTAATGACAAAAAATGTACATAGGTAATTGTGTTGTGTTGTGCTTTATTGGCTCATGCGGTTTTGCATGTACATGAATATACATTGTAGGTATAAAGAATATTTTTTGAAATATATGATTTGCATTTTTGTAGTAGGTAGATCATTTTGACTTGATCCTTTTATAAGTAGCTCGCATGCTGAAAAAGTGTGAGCACCCCTGATACACACTGACCATCAGATCCTAGTCCTAAATACTATTTTATCATTAAAAGGCCATACTGAATTAATCCTATGTATCCCTCCATGTATGTTACACACTATGTGTGTTATCATGGGAAGACAAGTATAGAACTGAATTTAAAAAAGGGATGAATGGATCAGATCACTATGATTTAAGTTTTCCATATCAGCCGACCTAAATCTAATATCTGCTTCAATAGTAAGATTAAAAAATTTGAGCATCCGTTTTCTTCTGCTTTATCCGTTGCGACGTTGTGAGGGCAGTAGACGGAGCAAAGAGGCCCAGACTTCGCTCTCTTTTAGAACAATTCCATGGATTTCAGATTAGAGAGATGTAAACTATGAGCACGTTTTCCAGGATTTGCAATGTTTGCAAAGAAAATCGTTGTTGCTCATCAAGTTGTGAAAGGCTATTTAATATTAATTTTTATTTGTATATTTTTATTTGATATGTTACATCTTTTAGCTCTACTCAAAGTTCCAGACTATATTGGGCCCAGACTGATGACCTCAAAAGGGAAGGCAGTCGTTGAAAGAACTTTGTCTGCCCTCACAGTCAACTCACAGTCCTCGAAATCTCATGTTCTGCATTCAAGGCTGGTGCAGATGGAATTTCCCATTCCCATAAAATTCCCATTTTACTGCGAGCCATGGGTTTGTCTATCCATCCATTTTCTTCCCCTTAATCCCTTTCTGGGTCGGGGGGGTGGCAGTCAGAGCTGCACCCAGTACACAGAGCACCAGCCCCTCACTGATCCTCCTGCAGGTGGTCAGTCCACAGGAGCTGAGATCTTTCAGTGGGAGCTTCAGGCAAAGTGGGGTTAAGTGTCTTTAGGGGTTTGCCTAATAAAGCTTTAAACTGTTTCTGAAAGATAACTTTTAATATGAATTGTACAGAGGCTTAAAAATTCTTCATCACATAGAATGCAAATACGACATGTTTCACATGAATATTGACAGGTTGTAGCTTTAAGACTAAAGTGGCCTTTAGACTAAAAGATCAAATTAAGTATTATAAAAAAAGATTTGTTTTCTAATGTGTTCCCTTGTGTGTTCTATGCATTGGGAATGTATAGATGTACAAGTTACAGACAGGTGTCAGCAAGTGTGTTTAAAAGGGAGAACAAGCAGGCAGTGAATGCATATAACTACATAAAAATGTGTTCACATCCAGAGCAGAGCTCATTTCGGCACAGAACACAAACAACTCTTGAAAACAGTCTACATGAACCCATATATAAGATTTCTTTAAAACATGAATTAAACTTTTCCTAAAATAATAAATATATTATTAATTAACTATGTAAAAAGACTTATCTGCAGCCCTAAAAAAATTGACTTGGACTTTCTTGGTTTTCTTTATAAAGATTATAGATAATGAAATCCAACAATGGCTCGAGTTTTTTTAGTGCGGGGGAAATACCAGGCGCAGGGTGGAAGCGCTTTGGAGCAGGCCTTGGCAGGCAGCCTGCTGCTCCACAGATTCTTCATGAGGAATGTGACCCATTTTACATTCACAAGCATTTAGAGCAGGAATGCTCTGCGCATGCGTGAGCCAACAGAGGGGGAGGGGCACGTGTCCATAATCTTCACATTGTTCAGTGAGTGCATATAGCAGAGCCGTATACGTGCTACCATGTGAGGCCCCATGGCTCTTGAAAGGATAAAAGGCACAAGAAAACATTCTAATGCATAAAAACTGCAGAGCTGTAATATTAGCAGGGAGACCATCGCATACATAATTAATCAAATATAATGAAAGTGCTGTCGTTATCAGTTAATGGAGAGAAGTCTGTGGTTCCTAAAGTGTGCTTAGGGAACCACAGAGAGCTGCAAGATTAATTTAGTTTTTTTATTCCTTCTAATTTTTGAACAGTAAGTATATGGACATGAAACTGGACCATTGATTAAAAAGGGAATACATAAAACTACACATTTTTCAAATATTGTACACAAACATTAATACATGAATTCATTTGATTTTAATGTACCTTTATTAACATTCACCCTAGGTCCATTGGTTTCTCTGTGTTTATTATAATCACATTTCTTGTGTTCTAATTGTTTGATTCTCTAATCGATTTGTAAATTAGGGCTATACAAGACATTTATTACATTAATGAATAAAGGGAGTTGTATCCTTATTTTACTAAAAAAGGAAGGAGTATAAAAGATAACATATGCATCGTGTATCTCTGTTCCCGGACACAGGGTCAAGTCTCTTGACCTTCTGGGGTCTCTTCTGATGTTCATGGCATTATATTATAAATAATAAACAAATAGCATTGATAATATGTTTTATGTTTTAACATTTTATATTTTGGTTATCATGCTGATCCTGACCAATCAGAAAGCAGAAGTAGCATCCCAGGCGTCCCTCATTTGAATTGTCAGTTTTGTTGGTGAAATCCAGCAGGTTTAGTCTCTAGTCCCCCGTAGGGAAACAAAATAAGAACACAACACTTCTCAAACTTGAATATTAAAATGAGCTATAAAAACGCAAGGCACCATTTTGAAATTCTGAACTTAAATCTGCACAATTTCATTTAAAGTTAAGTCTCTCTTTTGGAAGCTTTTTGCAAAGTTGTATCTTAAAATCTTAAATATGTTTTAATAGATCTATTAAAAAGCTCTAACTGCAGGGACACTGGGAACAAACCAGTAAGAAACTACAAACTGTTTCAAAAGGAAATATGGCTCCCCTTGTTTACAACTCTCAAATTGAGCATCCAATCATAAAGAGGCTCCTTTGGTTTCCAAGTTTCACTGGTGAACTCCAGATTGTTTGATCACAACCCACGCCTCAGTGCTAGCAGCAATCTGCAGGTAATGACTCATTTGGTTCAGGTCTATACAAAGTACGTCTTTAAACCAATGAGAGCAGAAACTGCAACGATCTTTGGTAAAGAAGGCATAAGTCATGTGGTTCAAGAAGGAAATGACAAATCTGTGGCCCTGTTTTGAACAGTGTGAAAGGAAGTATGTTTGGCAAAATTCCACTTGGCCTAAATCGGATGTGTGTCAACAATGGGAGCCAAATCATAATAGTGACAGGAAGGTTTTCTTATCATTTACATTTGAATGTAGTGTCAATGTGGGTACATACCTGCAACTCACACCAGGCCACCTCCACCGTCGTCTCTGTGTCCAGGCCCTTGTAGACAGTCTTGAAGGAGCCTCGACCAATCTCAATATCAAACTTGAGAAATCTGCCGTCAGGTGATGTTCCCACTGCTTTGGTTTCAGCTTCCTCAATGTCTTCTTGTACTTTCTTCTCTGCTTCCCTCTGCTCAGCCTCAGCTCGAGCCTTGGCAGAGTCTTTATTCTCTTCATCCTCTTCAATCTGAGCCTTGACCTCCGCACCACTTTCAGGTTCAGTGTGACTGGACAACTCTGTTCTTCTGCATGGTGATGACTGGACTGTTATGGGTTCCTCTCCATCACAGATGTTTCCGACATTTGCAGGACCTTCTTGCAAAGGTGCAACTTCTAACTTTGTTATTTCTTCAACTCCACCGTTTCCTTCACTTTTGCCGTCACCAGGAGACTTTTGGTTTTGTGATAATGTTGGTTCACATTTAGACAAGAGTCCAGTCGGGGCCTTCTTCTTCAGGGGGGCTTCTTCTCGTGCCTGAACTCGCTGAGGAGCGGGGATGGGGATCTTGCTGGGTAGAGGCAAGGCCAGCGCAGTAGCATTGGAATCGCTGATGACGCTGCGACGCAGAAAGCGGTGTTCAGGATTGCACCGGTCTCGCTCCATGGTGTGGTGCCGGCGTCTCACTTCAGTGGGTCGGGGTTCACTCACCATTGAGTCAGAGCCGGAGCTGGGGCCATTTCCACTCTTTTGAGGGGGAGCCAAAAACTTCACCATTTTGTCTCCAGGCTTTTCCGACATCCCACCACACACTCAAAATTAAGAATAAAGTATAACTTAAAAGTAAAATATTTCCATGTTTACAGTATTTTGTTTTGGAGTTTCTTGGTGACAAATGGACCCTCCGAACTTCTTCCTCCTTGACAGTTTTTAAAGCTTATATAGAGTTTTTATATTTACACTGCAAGTTGATATTGTGCAGAATAGGTGGTGTTCTTTTGTAATTTGAGAAGGCCTGATCACTGTTGTACAAACCACAGTGCTGCAAAGGTTGACGTGTAAGTACTTTCAAATCATTTTCTTCCATCTTGTAGAGCAAAGGATGCAGGTATTTTCAGCATAAGGAATCACTGATGAAAGACTTGACTTGAAAATTCTCCCAGAGGTCCCAAGATTCTAAAAGTATAGGCAAGATGTGTGGATAGAACAATCCAAATATCCTCTGGTGCCAATTCACTGAAAAATACATGTACAAATCATTTAGTTACCATATCAGAAGGAATAACAAGAGTGTTAAAATGTGATACTATATTTCCATAATATTAACTGCTCATTGTTAAAACCCCTTAATGAAGCAACCACGAAAAGCTGGAAGTCACTGAACGAAACTGCAAACTAGAACATGCATAGTTGAGAAACCACAACACATGCCCATAAAACGCAGCTGTAAATGATGAACAGTATTGCAGTTGCCAACAGCCAGTGTCGTTTATGTCCACGTTTATACGTCAATAATATATGGTTATGACAGAAGTCATGCAGTAGCATGACTGTTGACCCTATTAAAAGGTAACATTCATGTAAGTCGGTAGACACATGCGATTTAAAACACAAAAGCAGCTTGGTTATCGCAAACGCCCTCGCACCTTACCATTTCTTCACCGCACTGAGACTACAAGCACCAGAGTGAGGACCAAATTGAAGCCGAGGAGGAGGGACGTACGGCTCTTTGTTAGCATGTTAACATGCAGCTAACACAGCTATGTTAGCTTCTGCAGAAGGCTCCGCAGGCTTAACCCGTTGGGCCTTTCACACTGTAGCGTTGTGGGCGGTCAAACAGTTGCGTTGGTTGTTCACAACAAGGAAATGCAACGATAACGCCATACATTTTAAAGATAATCTGTGCTCAGTGCGCATATGCCCATTTCCTACGCAGTGGTTAGTACACCCCATTATACTCCCACAATTATAAAACACTAATTAATTAGACATAAGAACGTCAGAAGGGCCACCGACGTGGTGACAACTCGGTTAGCTTCTCCAATATAAACTGTGCGTTAGTAATAGGCGGGTCTGATCTAGGCCCAAGTTAAATCAAGACGCTCAGCCCACAACGTATAGCTTCTCAATGTATTTGGCGATTAAAAACGAATAGTTTGTACAAATACGGTAACACTGGCTTACCCAGCACATACACGTCGCATTTCACAGCTGTAGTATTTGTGCTCGTCGGTAGAGTCAACTACGTTAGCCGTTATTCGCATTTGTTAGCAGTGTGCTAACCTAGCTAAAACAACGCTATGTTTGCCGGTGGGCGATAACAGCTCGTTGCTGACCTACCTCTCAACACAGCTGTCAGCCACCAATATTCACCAGCGTTACTCCGTCGTCGAATATATAAATAAAGGCAAGTTACAGAAGAAATCCACAATGGTCCGAACTGGTTTCCTGATCACTTTAGTTACGGACAGGTTTGATGTGTGGACCGCGGCGCAGTTGCTACATATTGACGAAGAAACAACTATTCCTAAAGGCGCCTGCGCCAATGAAAAGTGACCTCATAACCTAGTCTCTCTCTAACACATGAGCACAGCCAACAGCTCAAAGTAAATATGTGCAATATGTGCTTTTAATTGTGTTTTGATGCATGCATTAAAACACAATAGCAGTTATTTTTATGACTCTTAATAAGTAGTGATATGAATTTATTCTGTACAAAGTCCACATAAGATAAGATAAGATATACTTTATTGATCTCACAAAGGAGAAATTTACATGTCACATCTGGCATGGATAGAAACACTCAAGATTGTGCAAAAAGAAAGCAAACATGTTAAATGCAGGATATATTATGTACAATAAAAGTGGCAAAATAAATTACATGCTGTAATAAAGGTGTGCTTCCATCCTAATCCAAATATCTCATTAATTTGTTACTATTTGTGGTTTTTACTTGACATTTACTTGAAGTAGTAATTTTTTCTTCGGTTTCTTTTCTTTTCATATAATAATAATAATAATAATAATAATACTAATAATAATAATAATAATAATAATAGTAGTAGTAATAGCAATAATAATAGTGATAATAATAATTTGTTGTTGTTATTGGTGTTGTTATTATTATGATTTATGATTTTGTCACCATTTAAATGAACGAGGCCTTCTTGCCTCGGGTTGGCAAAGTATATTTCACAGTCAATACTGCCGACTGGTGGCTGCGCCGTATGCATGAAAGGTTTTCAGTGATAAATGTGACTTGTTCGACTGACGCCACCTAGTGTCAATTCAAAGATGAATTTCACTCACGTAAAAGTTGTTTATGGATTCTAATCACTTCTGTAATTTTTTCGGGGTTGATGTTTCCACAGTTCCGTCTCCACCTTTCCATAAAATTGTTGTCGTGGTGTTCTCAAAATGCGGAGTTGGATGCTAGTGAGAAGATTTTGCTTTATTTAACACTATATCCACTATCGGTACATTTCACTTGTCAGCACTCTGAAGCAAGTATGTGAAACAAAACTCAACGTAATAGGACAAGTATGAGATCAAAAAGTACCTCAGAGTAATCCAATCAGTGTAATTCATCAGTTACATTTTAAAGTCGATACTAATGTTTTTTGTCTTTTAACTAGTACCAGTGTACCAGTGTCGAGCAAGTTACTAGTACTGTAATATCTTTGTATTCCGGGATCAAAATGTGATGATTACAATTGTTCTTGCAAACTGCGAGAAATTAAAGCAAACCAGCACTTACATTAACCATACATGTTACTTTAATTGTAACTATTAATATATTACCAATTTTCACTTTTGTAATGACTTACGCTCTTTAGTTACTTCAAAAAGGAATATATTATTTACATGCCCAACATGGTTTTGTTGTTTTCATCCTAAATATGAATGTAAAGAGTAAGGCCTACACTGCCAAGTTCCTCGTCAAATGTTTATTATTCATTGACCTTTATTTAGCAATAGTGCCACTGTGATTTAGTGGTAGGGAAACCGGAGCACCCGGAGGACACCACGCATTTGCATTTGTATCTTCGAAGCCATCTCGTGAGCGCGCATGGTCAGCGTGGCGAACTGACGCTCGCGTGAACGAGCAAAATGGCAATGTGAGTGCTGACGTCACTGAGGCGCCTAGCTCTGCTGCTGGGCCACTATCGCTACTACAAAACGATGAAAAAATCTGATGTCCGTGCTCAAACGCCTAAGCTAAGATGAGAATAATTGGAGCGCATATTTATCCGACCAGGGGAACCATTTCTGACGTATTTCGGGGCTCTAAGAAGTCATCGTTCAGTTCGTGAATTTCTACGGATTTTCCCCGTTCGCTTTTGTGTTAGCGAAGAAGAACATACAGGCTCGGCTTGGCTGGACCACGTACATCGGATGGGCTCTCCTCTCTAAGTTGTGGTGAGCTAATGCTATAGCAGAGGTTTGATGCGTTACTGAACCACATCTGCCATGGTCTTAAAGCAGTTTGTAATCCTGCTGGCCTAATGCTAGTGGCAGAAAGCACAGTGAACGTGAGACTCCGTTACGCACAGAAGAAAAATGATACGGTTTGATATGGGTGTCTCCAAAACCACTCCGGTCCAAATACATTACAACTACATTAAGGCTCCTCTGGCAGTCATTGTTTTATTGTGCCCAGTGAAGCAGCAGTAACTATTTAACGTGAATGCAGCCATCAGAGAATGTACGGAATTTTACAAACTGGGATTTTTCTCTCCCTTTTACCGTGAAGTGAACTGAACTATCCCCTTTACTCCTCCCATGCGGGCGACAGCACCCAAGAATGCGTACTTGAGATATCATAACATTTTCATAATTGTGTTGTTTTTGCTGCTTTTGTCAAGAATAGTGGAAAGGTTAGCTGCTAGTAGCAACAAGATTATCACAACATACCATTGATGTGCTGCCTTTGAAAATATGTTTCTCATTCTCAAGAACGTGCTTTGTACATGAATAATGTGCAAATGCCATGGATGAAGAATAGAAGAAATTATAACTAACTGTTGTTTTTTTTGTCTTTTTTGCAGGTGAAGTGGAAATACTTAAGTTTGTTGGATAAGCAAGTAGGCATATTTTTATGTGATAAAATTGTCAATTTGTGTGCAATATAATTGTTTAATCAACCAAACGTTTTTTTTCTCTACTATCCTCAGATCTTTCTATAAACATGTATGGTAGTGCTCGCTCAGTCGGTAGGGCGGATGCTAACCATAGTGGAGGAAGAGATGGAGGTAGTACAGGTCAGGCCTCAGGACGATCCCCACGCCTCCCACGTTCACCCCGTATGGGACACAGACGTACAAATAGTTCTGGAGGAAGTGGCGGCGGTCCCGGTGGCGCAGGGGGCAAAACACTCTCCATGGAGAACATTCAGTCTCTCAATGCTGCATATGCTACCTCTGGTCCTATGTATCTGAGTGACAATGAAGTGGCCATGGCAGGAGACCACCTTCCAAAGAGTGGAGGCACAATGACCACTATAGGAAGGCCGAGGGTGACATATGGTGTCAGGAGTAGTGGTAGCGGTAGTGGTAGTGTGGCTGCAAGTACTCCGAACATTTCCACCACAGTGCCTAATAATGCTCTGTTGCCAGCTGGGATGATGGGAGGTGATGCTTTGGCCTTTGGGGACCACCACATGTCCTCTACTGTCCCCCATTCTCTTAGGCAAGCCAGAGACAACACCATCCTAGACCTACAGACTCAGCTTAAAGAGGTATTTTTTCACTTCTTTGTTTTTCATACTTTTCTGGATCGATTGTTTTTTCTTACTTTCCATCTGCTTCAGGTTCTTCGTGAGAATGACCTGTTACGCAGAGAGGTGGAAGTCAAAGAAAGCAAGCTGAGCTCGTCCATGAATTCAATTAAAACCTTCTGGAGTCCAGAATTAAAAAAGGAGCGGGCTCTAAGGAAAGACGAAGCTTCCAAGATTTCCGTATGGAAGGAACAATATCGTATTATTCAAGACGAAGCACAGGTGAACTTTTTTATTTAATTTATTTGTTTCCAAATTCTGAGGTATTTCCCCAATGTTTTGCTTTAATTTGATGATTGAGATGGGACATACAAAGTGTACACTGCACGCATATCTGCATTGCTTTTAACACTGCAAAAAAGTTGCAACTAATTTATTTATATATACTTATTTTAGGACCTTATTCCATTTGAAAATGTCCAAAATCTTACCAAACGAGTCGCATTCTAAAGCTTTCTGGGCCATGGCTGCACAAACCTTTATGAAAACCAAAGCCTAAAATGTAAAGCATGCTGACAAAATGGTACTATACAGCTCTGATTGTGTGCTGAATTTCACTGCAGCCCACAGAAGAAATTTCAAAGATGACAAAGTTTAATATATGGCTGCAATGTCTGGTCAATCACACGCTTTGTTTCACTCTTATTTTTGGTAAATTAGGGGTCAGACAGGGATAATTCCTGTTTTCAATCGTGCTAAGACACAGAACCTCATCATGGAGTTATTCCCAGTTAGGCTCATTAGAAAAACTGTAATTTAAAGATGTCTGAAGCCTCTGCCCCCTCCCATGCAACACACATGTAGCCAAACCTCCATGAACAAAAGAACAAGACATTTGTCTTTGCAAATTACAGCTTTACCCCAGACCCATGCCTGCGATCAGTGGCGATACTACAGCCAGGGTTGTGATCTATCAGCTCAATATACTGTGAGCGGTTCTGAACGAATTATCTGTTATTATTTATACAATGGACGATGTCTGCAGCAATCAGACCCTATTTGTGCAAATCAAAGTGTTAAAATGTTTTAAATTACTGGCATACTCATTTGATTGTATAGTTAGATTGTTGCATAAAAACAAATGTGAATTCTGCGGTTAAAAAAAACATGTTTCTGACCTATCTTCATCTTAGTCCGTTTTAAGTTGATTTAATTCATCACAACTAATCAATTATTGAAATAGTTGTCTAGTAATTAAATAACTGATTCATCCTTTACTAAATCCTGCATAGACCTAAACATGCTGAGAAGATGATGGCTAAATTATTATTATATATATATTATATTATAATTACAGCCATTATAATTACAACCTGAAATAACATATATTTGTGTCTAAACTTTTGAATGTTGAAGACGGAAAATTCTTAGATTGGCAGTGACAAAATCAGATCTGTATACAGCAGCAGCAGCTAAGTAAGTACGTCCCTCGCCTGTCGTCTGGCCTGCTCAAACAGGAGAAGAGAGTATGAGGAAGTGAGAAAGTGTTTGTGGCTACAGCATGAGTGTGCCTGTCCAGAGCAAAGGCGTGGACAAGCACAGTTACACAGTGAGTCAGCCTTTGTCACAGGGAGGAAAAGTGATGGAGAGTGCCAGTGGAGGTGAGAGAATTGGTGTGAGAACAAGACAAGCGTAAGCAAGTCTGATGAATCGTCTCTGGGGAGTGCAGGGGAAAATGACAAAGGACCAAAAAGGACAGGGCTGGAGGAAAAGTCACTCTGACTTGTCTCTTTGTTCTGCCTTATGAAAACCCTCGCAGATGCAGACAAGAGTAACAATTCACTAGGTTACAGAATCTCAGTACACTGCCGAACGTTCATGCCGTCCGATGCCACCAACAATGCAATACTACACTGGGCCAATTGTGTTTCACAATTTGTATCTCTGAGCATTAAATGTTAAACTGGCTCTTGACTATGATGGCATGTGTCTTTTCTCTGATTTATCAATACAGGGTTCAATTTACTATTGATTTATTTTCACATTCATATTAAAACATCATGGCACATAATAGTCAATAGATATGAGTGTAGTAGTAGTAGAGTCCATGCCACCAGTTGGGTTTCTGGTTAAATGGCCCATTTTGTGTTGGACAATGCAGGTCAAATTGCAGGTCAAAGGGTACATTCACACATTGTTGAACTGGAGCAGCCTCTGATGCCTTTTTAGGCTAAGTTTGCTTAATCTGGTGATGTGATAATACAAAATAAGTGCAGCCTAGTCTAAATTTCATTTGATTTGCTTTGAAACCGATCGGTGAGAAATGGTGGATTTGCATCTGTGATAATACTTTAAATCTTACAATTGTTTTTAAAAATGGGCTTTAACAATGCTGATCAGATTTCTGGGATTCTATTAGTCAGTAAGGCCCCAGCCCTCCAGAGTTTTGGACTGGCTGGTACAAATGATTGTTTATTGTAATTAGGGGTGTAAATCGGCGACCGGTTAACCGGTGGTTGACCGTCACAGCGTTAACCGGTCAAAGCTGTCGGTTAAAAAAGAGAAAAAGGGGAGAGGGGAGGTCTCTTAATAACGCTATTTTAAGCCCTATTTGCACGGTGTGACGAGCGGGTCTGTATCTAGCTGTGTGCGCCCATGTATTATAAACTCCGGGACGACTCTCACGCCGCACGAGCCACATATTCACACACGCACACACACACACACACACACACACACACTTTCCCCCTCTCCATACGTAACATCCACACGCATCATCTCTCCCCTCTGTTACCGTCAAAGTTGCACACTGGCGCGGGTCAGAACTACATTGGAGCTTACACACACACATACATACACACACACATACACACATACACACACACACACCGGTCTGTCGCGCTCCTCTGTGTCACGGAGCCCAAAGGATTCGCGCAAATACGCGGCTCCAGTCAAACCACATGGACCATGTTTGTGTTTATGGTCCTCGGGATCAGCTCCACACACATCACTTGTATTTAAACTTTTGTGAAGACCTGTGAGACGCGGCTCGTCACTCGCTGCTCTGACCATGTGAACGAGCCGTCGTTTGCTGCTAGAAAGTTTTGGTATTAACCCGCAGCACAGCAGAATGGGAAGATTAAAAAAGCAGTTCTCTGTGCGCAAAGGTGCCGGAGCTGTTGCGGGTTTGGGCGCCGCTGTCTCAACTCTGATCCAGTAGAACGCAGAGCTGCACTTATGAAAAGTACGCGGCTCGAAATGGCTGTTATTTCAAAGAACGTGGACTATTTTAAACTACGCGGTTATCCGGTTTCAACCGGTTAATGAGGCTCGGTGGTCGGTCATGAAAATTCATAGTTTTTTCCCTAATCCCTAATTGTAATGCTCCCTTGCTCCCTATACACACAATAAATAACACTGGAATTCTGTAAGGTCAAATGTTTCCGGTCTCTGTGGCTAGATAATTCCAACGTCACCTTTCGTGTGTGTGTGTGTGTGTGTGTGTGTGTGTGTGTGTGTGTGTGTGTGTGTGTGTGTGTGTGTGTGTGTGTGTGTGTGTGTGTGTGTGTGTGTGTGTGTGTGTGTGTGTGTGTGTGTGTGTGTGTGTGTGTGTGTGTGTGTGTGTGTGTGTGTGTGTGTGTGTGTAAACCTTGTGTCTCATGTTTGTAGCACCTCCAGATGACTGTCCAGGCCCTTCAGGATGAGATGAGGATCCAAAGGGATCTGAACCAGTTGCTCCAACAGGACCCATCCAGCCAAGGCCGAGACCTGGCTCTGACTTCTGAACCCACAGAGGAGAACTACAGGAGACTGCATGCTGAGCATGAGAGACAAGCCAAAGAACTGTTTCTGCTCCGGAAAACCCTCGAGGAGATGGAGCTTAGGATCGACACGCAGAAACAAACACTGGGGGCAAGAGACGAGTCCATTAAGAAACTGTTGGAGATGCTCCAGAGCAAAGGTAAACTGGTTTGGAACAACCATGAACATGAAAGGAAAATGTGCAAGAGACCATCATCACACCCATATCACCGTTTAAATGTACCATAGAAGTGTAAACCTACAAAACTCTTTTTAGGGCCATCTGCCAAGGCATCAGAGGAGGACCAAGAGCGTACCAGAAGATTAGCTGATGCAGAGATGCACAGACATCATCTTGAGAGTTTGCTGGATCAACGAGACCGAGAAATTTCATCCCTTAGAGAGGTTTGTTCATTCATATCAGACTGTGTACATTTCTTTCTATATATCTTTTTACTTGATGTTTACCTTTTGAATCAGGAGTTGCACCGTAGATATGAGGGAACCCCTGAGTCTACTAAAACCAAAGCGCTACAAACTGTTATTGACATGAAGGTAGGTTACTTTTGTTATTTATTAGTAACACCCCTAAAGACAAGATACTAATGAAAGTTTGTGGATCCAGGATGCTAAAATCGGTTCAATGGAGAGAGGCATGCGGGACATGGAAGAGGAGCTGCTAATGTTAAAATCAAACGGACTCTTGAGTTGTGAAGAACGGCAGGAGGAGATGAAACAAATGGAGGTCTACCGGAGTCACACAAAGTTCATGAAAAACAAGGTCAAGATTAGCTTTATGGATAATATTACCATGCTTGCTTCCATAATTAACACATTTCAGCACTTGATTCTGGCAATAGATGGAGCAGGTGAAGCAGGACCTCTCCAGGAAAGACACTGAGCTCCTGGGGCTGCAAACCAAACTGGAGACTTTAACAAACCAGTTCTCCGATAGCAAGCAACACATCGAAGTCCTGAAGGAATCCCTCACTGCGAAGGAACAACGCGCTGCTATTCTACAGACAGAAGTAAGACCGTTCAGCCCGAAACTCCCAAAACGAAGAGCTGTTTGGCATTATATTGGATGTATGTATTTTCTTCTCTAGGTCGATGCACTGCGCCTGCGCTTGGAAGAGAAGGAGGCCACGCTGAATAAGAAGAGCAAACAGATCCAAGAGATGTCAGAAGAGAAGGGAACTCTCAACGGGGAAATCCATGACCTCAAGGACATGCTGGATGTTAAGGAGCGCAAAATTGTTGTGCTGCAGAAGAAGGTAAGAAACGAGGGGTCACGCTCTTAAGGTTCCAGTTTTTCAGAATTTGATCGGAAACTAACAAAAGTGAAGGTATATAAAATGTATTTGGATTGGCTTTGAAAAATTCAAGATTACAAGCTGGATTAATAATGTTCAATTTAAAAGATTGGAAGGCTCTGTGTTATTACAGAAAAAGAGCCATGAAATGCTCCTTTACCTGCCAATGGTGGTATAGAATAGTATATTTGAAAGTCTGTACGAAGTCTTAGATTGGACTTGGAGCTGCCTTGTGTACAATAGTATTGATCAATGTGTTTGTATGTAATATCCTTTATTTTTCAGATTGAGAATCTACAGGAGCAGCTGAGAGACAAAGAGAAGCAGATGAGCAGCCTGAAGGAGAGGGTCAAGTCTTTACAGGCAGATACCTCTAACACCGACACCGCGTTGACCACACTGGAGGAGTCTCTGGCAGAAAAGGTGAGCCCCACTGCACGGTAACGGACAAGACTTATTGTATGGCATGTCTAATCTAAAAGTTTGTGTATTTGTAGGAGCGCATTATTGAGCGGCTCAAAGACCAGCGAGATCGAGATGACCGGGAGAAAGGAGAGGAGCTGGACTCTTCCAGAAAGGAACTGAAGGAGCTGAAGGAGAGGCTCAGTCTGCTGCAAGGCGACCTGTCAGATAGAGAGGTAAGACACTACACTAAAAGTTGCAAAACGTTTTTTTGTGTTGATCAAGATCCCGCCCACGCACACAAGAACGTTTTACTGCCCACTTTTTCACCAGTCGAAGCCTATAGATAAGCGCAGACTTTCTCGAGGAGAAAAGTGAGAGTTTGAAATGAGAAGTCCTGTTATGTCTTTTTACAGCCGCAGCCAAAAGCCTGTCTTTGGTGGTGCGGTGGCCACGGTGGTTTTCCACGTTCAAGCATTGAATTCCTGTGTTGTCACTCCATGCTTTCATTACTGTTTTATATCCTATTACACTGCCATTTATAATACTTCCTCTGGAAGTGCTTCTATACTGATAAATCTAGGCCTCGGCTGCGACCCATTTGATTTTTCATATATTAGATTAGATTAATATCAATTTGTTGATGTCCACTCTATTTCAGTGCTGATTTAAAGGCTGAGTAAAATACACTTCCCAATCAACTCCAAAAATAGAAAGACCAGTAATCTCTGCTCTTGTTTGAACACTGCCAAGATGTTGCCGTTGGAAGAAAAGGTTATTTTACTTTTTTTTGTTCTCGTGAAGCCCCCAGTTTGGTTTGATTTTGTTCTCCAGAGTTTGACAGTTCATTAGCCTGGTGTTCCCCAACCTTTTCTAGCCCTGGTCCACTTGATTGAGAATCATTTCATGACACGACCAGCTGAAACTGATAGAAAAAGAATACTCTCCAGTCATAACAACGTAAAGTCATCAAAGTGTATTTTGTCAAATTAAAAATGTCTCTATAAGGAAACAGTCTTTCTAGTTGTCTCACATTATTTTATTTTCACATTATTTTGACCAGTTAGGTGATCTTGGATCACACCAAACAACATTTCAAGGCAGGCTCACGCACTGTGGCACACTGGTTGAAAAACATTTTAGTAGCTACGCAATAATATAAAGCCTGCTATTGAACCTACTTGTGTTGTTTAGACTAATCTGTTGGACCTAAAGGAGCATGCATCATCACTGGCATCCTCTGGTCTGAAGAAGGATTCTAAATTAAAAACCTTAGAAATCTCCTTGGAGCAGAAAAGAGAAGAGTGCTTGAAACTGGAAAGCCAACTAAAGAGGGTATTGTTCTGAGAGTTTTTCATTCCCTTTAATGCTATTCTAGATGTTTTATTTTTTATTTTTCAAATCTCCCCTCATGTGACAGGCCCAGACAGCCACGCTGGAGGCCAAGGCGAACACAGAGTTGGCAGAGCGCATCAAGAACCTCGAGCAGGACGTGTCCCGCCACAAGGAGGATTCTGGGAAGGCCCAAGCCGAGGTGGACCGCCTGCTGGAGATCCTGCGGGAGATGGAGAACGAGAAGAACGACAAGGACAAGAAGATTAACGAGCTGGAAAGGTAAGCAGAGCCGCTATACACACGTGCATGCTAACAAGCACACATTATGGTATCGGTATCAATGTTTTTTATATTGAGTTTGACATTGATTGGTAAAATTTACATTGACCACATGCCAAAATCAGCACACACTCAAATTGCAGCTTTTTCTTATATGCATGGGACGTAAAAAGTAGAAAATAACTAATTTGGGTTTTCTGAGACCAATGGTTATAAAAGCTGATAAAAAAAGGCTCATACTAATACATTTGCTAATACATGCTAGATATTTGATAATGCCTTTATGGATATTCATGGGAGTTGGTTTTATTTACCAGTATTTTATTTGTGGAAAGTTTTGTTTATAGCTAATCTTTTTTTTTCATTTTTTTATGTATACTTTTTCAAATTATACACATATATTTATTTTTCTGTTTCTATTGGTTGTTCCTAATTATGTTTTGAGATTGTTCTTAGTAAAATAAGTTATCTAATTTTAACATATAACATGTCATGTTAGCATTTCTTCCAGGAATGCTAAGAAGATTTTGGACTGATCGTTCAGTAACTTAAAAAAAAAAAAAATCATTCTATTTGAATTAGACACTCAACTGACATTTGCCATGTTTTAGTGGCATGTTTGAGTTGAGTTGGTGTGAATCTAACGCCTGGTGAGATGTTTCTGAACCTTACTCTGACTGTCGGGCTTTCTCTTCCTCTTTCTCTTCATTGCATCCTTTGGACTTTTCACAGTATGACTTCCAGGTTAGTGACGTGTCTCCTTCCCCCTCACTCTTCTGCTTTGTTTTCTTATCTACTTATCTGTGTGGACCTCACCTGGAGTAAATGCATCAGCCCCTTTTTCTGATGCTGTCACTGTGTACGTGCTGAATAAATGCCCTTTGCTCCACCCTGGTCACTGGTCACTGGTCAGGAGTCGGGTAGATATTTGAAAGGGGCAGTATGTGCCTTTTCAGGTGAGGGGTCCGAAAATGTCTTTTCTTCATGGAATGTTGTTACTTTGCCGGGAATGTTCCAGAAGCCTGTGGCACCACCTGTTTCAGTGTGTTTGTAGCAATGAAAAAGCCAGTACGTCACTGAATTTACAGAACTGATTCCCATTGATCATTCCAGGCAAAGAGAAGTGTGATGGACCTTCCACCTGGAAACGGCTAATATTTTTATAATTAATTTATTTTATCCTCTTTGCTTTTTATTAACAGTCTGTGCTTTTAATACCTTCAAAGATTAAAGTGATTTTTAACCCTTTAGGTGAGTTTTTTATAGAAATTTGATGAAACAGACAAAAGGTGGAGCCTTGACACTGAAACTGAGAGATAAATCCAATAAAATAGTTAAACCAAATTTAGGGGAAAAAAATGCAAGTTCTGCTACTATGCCACCTAAAATTGTTAGCATCATATATGTACATGCATAAATACATAATGAATTTGGCTATATAGTAGCCCCTTGAGATAAGTTTTTTTCCCCCCAGGGGTGCTTCAATGTATTTCAAAGATATTGTTACAAACAGCATCTTGTGCCCTTGTAGACAGATGAAGGACCAGACAAAGAAAGTGGCCTCACTGAAGCACAAGGAGCAGGTGGAGAAGAGCAAAAACGCTCGTCTGATGGAGGAGGCCAGGAAGAGGGAGGACAATGTGTCGGAGAGTTCTCAACAGGTCAAGGTGTGCTGCTCTAACATCTGCACTTGTGTTTTTAAGATTAAGAGATCCTGTTTCTGTCCCACAGTGGGGAAATGTATAGTTAGTTACAGAAACAGGAATGAGGAGTACAGAACACGAGAGTGAATAATGAATTGTATACACATATAAGGCATAAACCTGTACACTCTAGTAGGGGTGGGAACCTAAGGGTACCTCACGATACGATACACGATACAGAGCTCACGATAACGATATTATCGATATATTGGTCAGAAATATACAATATGCCAATTTATGGCATAAATAAAAGAAAAAAATACACTTTATTTCATGATAAATGGAATGGAGATGCGTAATGTAGCCATATATTTAGTATTGATACCAATTGAAAAAAATAATTTGTAAACAAAAAAAAAGAAAGAAAAAAAAGCATATCGATAATCGAATCACGGGAGAAAGTATCGCAATATATCGATATATCGTCACACCCCTACACTCTAGTGCAATGAAATATATACTTGTATGTACACATCTGTAGATACATCTGTAATACTCTAGTGCAAATATTCAGAGATGAAACTACTGTACATGTTAGCAGCATGTGATAGTACTGTACATGTTAGCAGCGTGTGATAGTACTGTACATGTTAGCAGCATGTGATAGTACTGTACATGTTAGCAGCGTGTGATAGTACTGTACATGTTAGCAGCATGTGATAGTACTGTACATGTTAGCAGCGTGTGATAGTACTGTACATGTTAGCAGCATGTGATAGTACTGTACATGTTAGCAGTGTGTGATAGTACTGTACATGTTAGCAGCATGTGATAGTACTGTACATGTTAGCAGCGTGTGATAGTACTGTACATGTTAGCAGCATGTGATAGTACTGTACATGTTAGCAGCGTGTGATAGTACTGTACATGTTAGCAGCATGTGATAGTACTGTACATGTTAGCAGCGTGTGATAGTATGTACATGTTAGCAGCATGTGATAGTACTGTACATGTTAGCAGCGTGTGATAGTACTGTACATGTTAGCAGCATGTGATAGTACTGTACATGTTAGCAGTGTGTGATAGTACTGTACATGTTAGCAGCATGTGATAGTACTGTACATGTTAGCAGCGTGTGATAGTACTGTACATGTTAGCAGCGTGTGATAGTACTGTACATGTTAGCAGCGTGTGATAGTACTGTACATGTTAGCAGCATGTGATAGTACTGTACATGTTAGCAGCGTGTGATAGTACTGTACATGTTAGCAGCGTGTGATAGTACTGTACATGTTAGCAGCGTGTGATAGTACTGTACATGTTAGCAGCATGTGATACTACTCTACATGTTAGCAGCGTGTGATAGTACTGTACATGTTAGCAGCATGTGATACTACTGTACATGTTAGCAGCGTGTGATACTACTGTACATGTTAGCAGCGTGTGATAGTACTGTACATGTTAGCAGCGTGTGATAGTACTGTACATGTTAGCAGCATGTGATAGTACTGTACATGTTAGCAGCGTGTGATAGTACTGTACATGTTAGCAGCATGTGATAGTACTGTACATGTTAGCAGTGTGTGATAGTACTGTACATGTTAGCAGCATGTGATAGTACTGTACATGTTAGCAGCGTGTGATAGTACTGTACATGTTAGCAGCGTGTGATAGTACTGTACATGTTAGCAGCGTGTGATAGTACTGTACATGTTAGCAGCATGTGATAGTACTGTACATGTTAGCAGCGTGTGATAGTACTGTACATGTTAGCAGCGTGTGATAGTACTGTACATGTTAGCAGCGTGTGATAGTACTGTACATGTTAGCAGCATGTGATACTACTCTACATGTTAGCAGCGTGTGATAGTACTGTACATGTTAGCAGCATGTGATACTACTGTACATGTTAGCAGCGTGTGATACTACTGTACATGTTAGCAGCGTGTGATAGTACTGTACATGTTAGCAGCGTGTGATAGTACTGTACATGTTAGCAGCATGTGATAGTACTGTACATGTTAGCAGCGTGTGATAGTACTGTACATGTTAGCAGCATGTGATAGTACTGTACATGTTAGCAGCGTGTGATAGTACTGTACATGTTAGCAGCGTGTGATAGTACTGTACATGTTAGCAGCGTGTGATAGTACTGTACATGTTAGCAGCGTGTGATAGTACTGTACATGTTAGCAGCGTGTGATAGTACTGTACATGTTAGCAGCGTGTGATAGTACTGTACATGTTAGCAGCGTGTGATAGTACTGTACATGTTAGCAGCGTGTGATAGTACTGTACATGTTAGCAGCGTGTGATACTACTGTACATGTTAGCAGCGTGTGATAGTACTGTACATGTTAGCAGCATGTGATAGTACTGTACATGTTAGCAGCGTGTGATAGTACTGTACATGTTAGCAGCATGAGGATGTGGGATAAGAGACTGTGGACACATGTGGTTTCATTGTGCACATTATTGCACGCTATTGCACAGATCCATGCCTCCCTGGACTCTTCTCTAACACCTGCACTTGTGTTATTATCTGCAGATCCCTGAAACTCTAACTATTGTGTCTCTCTTTGCCGTTGCCTAGGACACTTTGCGTCAGAAATCTGAGCGCATTGAGGAGCTGGAGGAGGCCTTGAGAGAGAGCGTTCAGATCACAGCTGAGCGGGAGATGGTTCTAGCACAAGAGGAGGCTGCCAGGGCTCACCAGGAGAAACAGGTACCAATTTACAGATCTAAAGAAGGCTTTCCACATACCAACAATGAATGATCTTAGGAAGTTGCAGAAACATAAGGGTGTCTCAAGGTTGCTGTAGATGATTAGCTGTACCAAATAAATTGTGCCGCTGTATTTCAATCCTTCTCTTTACATCCCCCTTTCCCTTTTAACCCGTGTTTCTTTCTCAATTCTTTTATCTTTGCCTTTCTCTTGTTTTCTCTGTGCTACACACCGCAGAAGCATTCACTCAAACCAATGCATGAGTCCAACCTCGCCCACCTTAAGTGGTCTAAGGTACGAGTATATGTGACCTCCTTCAGTCACACTCACAGTGGAGGAAACATAACAGCAGCACCACACTGAGGACTGCATGGCCGTCTGGTGATGCTGTTATCTTCACCCATTGTGATTTCTATGTTTTCACTCTTACCTGGTCTTTGCTAAGCACAAAAAAAAACATTTCATTTGAATCATATCAAACTTTCATCAAGATATTTATATATATTTTTATATTCGCTCAAATGCCAGGTAATTGTATTGCTGTAGTACCCGATGGAAATGGATTGCCTTCACTGCCTTCAAAAACCTATCACACATTGGCAAGATGGACTCCGGCTCCTTCATCATTATTATTGGCTTGTGATCCCTTTGTCGCTTGTAGATTGAAATTTGTTTTGTGTTTTTGTAGATGGAGGAGTTGCTGGGTGCTATGGAAAAGGTCAAACAGGAGCTGGAGTCCATGAGATGCAAGCTGGCCTCCACGCAGCAGTCCCTGTGTGAAAAAGAAGCACACCTGACAACCCTCCGTGCAGAGCGCAGGAAGCACCTGGAGGAGGTGCTGGAGATGAAGTAAGACTCATTATTGATCCCTTCCTTTTGGCTGGTAAATGTCAAACTGTTCTTATTCCAACAGTCGGCGGCCTAGGGTTGTTCCATGAATAATGAATGAGCACCGGGCTGTTTGCTTAGTTGTAAAATGCCATATTGTTGTGTGTCTAAAAAGACAGGAGGCGCTGTTGGCTGCCATCAGTGAGAAGGACGCCAACATCGCACTGCTGGAGCTGTCTTCATCCAAGAAGAAGAAGACTCAGGACGAGGTGGCACTGCTGAAGAGGGAGAAGGACAGGCTGGTGCAGCAGTTAAAGCAGCAGGTACTTGTAACAACATATGGATCACTGCACGCTACTGTTCTAGGAATACATTAAGAATAATTTATACTTAAGTATGAAAGATCCTCTTCTTGGGGAAGATGTTATCAGTACAAGAGTTTCCTGTTTTCAAACTTTGGATCGCAAGTGTTCCCATTTTGGTGAAATTTGTGGATAAGTATTTTTTAACTGATTCAAATTATGTTTACTACAAATATTTAAGACTAAAGACTTAAGATATTTTGTAATCTGAAAGAATTGGAAGGAGCCCTAGAGAAGCTTCAGAAGTGGGACAAGCTGCATTTAGATTCGTGATTCTAAAACTGACATACCAAGAGTGGGCTTTTGGATGCATTTTTAGATAAATATCAATATTTTTCATATTTTCGACAATTGAAAAGCCATATACTGTATATTTGTTTTGATTGTTTTTGTTAGTTGCAATCTTCACTAAATTAAATATAAATGCATCAATAGGGTTGTATTTGTGTTAAAATGGGGCGGAGCGTTTATAGTTTACCAAACTGCATCGAAACGTTTAGAAATGAATTGTAGAAAATGGAAAGTCGCCTGTAAATAGATTAGTCCAGGGTACACTGGCAGGCCCTAGTCCAAGGTACACTGTTCGTCAAAGTTTATAATGTTGAAAACTCGTGATGCACTTTTTCTCCTAGACCCAGAACAGAATGAAGTTGATGGCAGACAACTACGAAGACGATCATCTCAAAACTGCCCACGACCAAACCAATCACAAACCTTCTCCAGACCAGGTAGGACCTTCCAGCAAAGTCACGACGATTGTCCTGATTTAAACTAATCAGATTTATGGTGAATCTGTTCTTTGCACTAACCAAATATTGTCCCTAACGCTGCGATGGTCACAGGATGATGAGGAGGGGATTTGGGCATAGCCTCCCGTTTGCCCCGCTCCCCTCTCTCAGCGTTTGTGTTCAGACCGGTGAGCCTTGGGCGGGCAACAGATCTCGTCTTATTCCTGTTTCGTGGCATGTCGCTCTCCTTGACATTTAATTTGTGCTCGTCTCTGTCCTGTGCATGTTGTCACCTGTGTCGCCTTTTTCCTTTCTTTCACTTAAGTTCACTGGACATTACTGAAATGCTTTTATCTTGGCAAAATGGCAATAATTCTTGATACTAACACTTCTATTACATTGTCACCCAATGTGGTTATTTGAATAATCAGGATCTGTTATGTATATGAGTGGGCGACAGTAGCTCAGTTGGTAGAGCATTGGCCTTCAGGCCTGAAGGTTGTGGGTTCATTTCCCACCTCTGCACCTTCTCCACCGACTCCCACTGATGACTGCTGTCGTTGTGTCCTTGGGCAAGACACTTAACCCCACTTTGCCCAAAGCCCCCGCTGAAAAAGATCAAGGCTATGCTCACACTCAGAGAGCAGCCGTCCTCCTGTGGACTCACCACCTGCAGAGGGTCAGTGAGGGGCTGGTGCTATGAGACTTGGGTGGCATCTCTGACTGCCACCCCCCTGACCCAGAAATGGATTAAAGGGTAGAAAATGGATGGAATGGAGGATCTGTTATGTATTCTACCAATTTATTACCTTAGAATAATCAAGTCCTCTCACTTTTTGGCACCCATTAATTATATATTTTAGGAATTAATATAGCTTATATTTTAAACAAACAATCCTGGAGTATATTTTCAAACTTGCTAATCATTCTTCAGAGCAGTGTTGGCCCTAGGCAGAAACGATTCTATGTAAAATAAGTTCTGAAATTAGTTTTATGCAAAACATTCACTGATTTTGAAGTGGTTTTAAAAATTATCTCTTTAATCTTGGCGAAGAAATTGCGTTCAAAGTATTCTTGTCATACATTATTTCTAGTATAGAATGTACATTTTAACACAAAGAGACTACAATAGTTGCTGGACTGTAATCCACTGGGGTTTTTTTTCAAGATAAGTGAAGTCTGGCCTATATAGCCATGCAACATGTGTTTTTATTTTGTTAGAGCGCCCCCTGGAGTGTCCTCATTAGTGGGGTTGTTTTGCGCCATCAGCTGTTGGTTAAGTGTGACATCACAACATACAAACCTGCAGCTTATATTCAAGTGCGGCCTATATGTGGACACAAAGGTACTTACTCTTTAAACGTTGCCGGTGAGGTTTATATACACATGCGCCTGATAGTCCAGCAAATACTGTAGTTTATTTTATTTAAATGTCTGCCTTATTGTGTGTTGTAGAAAAGTGGAAAAAGCTTTGTGCAACACAATGAGCCAAAAGTCGCATCTTTCACTTGGAGTATTGTGATTGCTGTTGTGTAGTTTGCATGCAGCTGCTAAGTGGATGAGGCGTTCTTCTTCTCTGACATGTTGGCGGTGCATGTGACGTCTCTGGCCTCCACTGACCGGCTGCTGCACTGACCCAGGGAACTGGAGGGGCACTGGCTCTTGTTTCAGCCACACAGCACGCATGAAAACCTGGGAGGGGTTTCCGTCTCTCTGCTCTTCTCGTTGTCCACATCTTACCGGTCATGTCGTGATTTGTAGGGCTGAACACTCAATCGAAATCGCTAATTGAATTTGTGAAATTAATAAAGTGAGGCTCTGCAGTTATTCAGGGATCGTAATGACCTCAGCAGAGCAGTAAATATCCCCATCTCTTTTGAGCTGTTGGGTTCAGCACATGTATTATTGCACGACTCTCTCAAACGCCTTTTCTCTTGGATTGAGAGATTTAAACCTCAAATCAATCTGCTTTTTGTATGTATATATGTATGCTTGTGCAGTCCTAATGTGTTCATTCATCATTCATCTGACCTGACATTCTTACCCATGTCCTGTTTCTTAAAATGACTTGAATTCAGGATGTTTTTCATACTTTCTGTTGTTTTAGACCATTTACAAGATGTCTGACAACTTCTCACAGTAGTTTGCTAAGACCAAAAGAAAAAACAAATTATTTACTAATATATCCTGTTTCCAAAGGCGTTTTAGCTCAAACTTGGGTCATTGCCAAAAGTCAAAAAAAAAAAAAATGTAATCTACTTTTCTCAATGACCAGATCATGCATTTTTTCTTCTAAACTGGTCCAGGAACAGCCTTAAATTAAATAAGCATCATGTAGGTTAATGTAATATTTTAAGTGTTCTCGCCCTACCAGAGTGTGTATATAACAGTTTAAAACACTAACACGATCAATATGAGGAGAAAAATCTTGATTTCCCCAGATCGCCCAGTTTTATACTTGTAAAATATAAGGAAAAATGCATAAAAAATGGAAAGTAATTATAACGTGAATTCAAGTTATTCTATGTCTATTATTCCGTTATACTTGGTTCGTGTGCCTTGTGGTCCTGTTGTAATACAGAGGCTTACTGTACGTCTCTTCTCCAGATGATCCCCCCTCTTGTAGCCCTGTCCCAGAACCGCAGCAAGCTCAAGCTCTACATTGCCCACCTGACCGACCTGTGTAACGAGAGGGACCCCAGCATCCTCAGCACGCTCACCCCCCCCTCACACTATCACCATGGCGACCCTGACCACTGGGAGGACGAGCTGCACAAGATGTCATGCCAACAGGTAAACGCCACTGCCAAAGACCAACGCACACAATAAGCAGAGATTGTGCTCCTGGCTTTCTCCTGATTTTATTTTAAAGAATATATAAATCAAATTTGGGTCAACATTTCATAAGCATATACAAATTCACAGTGTCATCCAGCCAACTTCAGCTCGCCAATATAGACATGGCATATACCTGGTTGCAAAGGCTTTTAAATCCAGTCATTGACTTTGCTGACCATAAGGACGTCTATGATCGTCTGATGAACTAGACTGACCCTCTTTCTAAATGGTTTGGTAGCTTTTTGGCAATGTACAGCAAGACTATTGAGTTCTGAGGAGTCGAGGCTGCACCTAGATTCTTTAGGCACAAGAAAATCTGAAATTTATGAAGGTGCCTGACTAAACACAGACGCATGCACACAAACGCACACAGATGCACACATACGCACGGACGCACAGTGTCGCACACAGCATATCTTATCTTAAGTACTGTATATTTATCGATCCAAGAGCTTCACTTTTGGTACAAAGTGAAATAGTGTGTCATTTTAGTGGTTTGAATGAACATCTGCTTGTGCTTAGATACGTTTGCTCCAATGTTCATAATTTTTTGCACCTAAAACCCTTAATAAATAAACTCCTGGGACTCAACTTTGCATGGCACTCTGATTAATTGAGTTTGAGACCACTTTCTCTACATTAAACCCAAGACTGCTGGTTTTCTGAGCATCTTTGAGTGGGTAAATAAGGAGGAGAAAACCACTAAAACCCACAATGAATCTCGGAATTGTGTTTAAGTCCCTGTATTCTCCTCACAGCTGGAGCAGGAGCTGGAGCTGTGTGAGAAGGAGAGCAGTGAGCTGCAGGAATACGCCAACTGCGTTCTCCAGCAGATCGCAGACTACTGCCCCGACATCCTGGAGCAGGTGGTGAACGCGCTGGAGGAGTCCTGCTAACCCAAGGGCCGCGTGGAGCTCGCCCTGACCCGAGTCCAAACCTCCAAGACCTCCAACCGTGCCGAAGATTAGGTTTAGGTCACAGCTACACATACCAGAGTCCTCGTATCTGGCTCTTATCACTCAGCCTAGAAAAGAAGACTTTGTTGTCAGGGATCAGCTTTACAACTTCATTTAAAACAGTTGGGTAATTTGAGCACATAAATATTCAGTCCATACACTGCAAAAAATGATTAAATATGAGGTGATAATTGCTTGAATCGAGTTTGTATCTTAATTTGAGCACATTCTGACTGTTTTAAAACAAGATTTGACAATGGGACAAAGCCATTAAGTCTTTTTTTTCATTCCAAGTGAGACATTTCTTCTATCTTTTATAAACAAGATGATTGCGCTTGTCCCATTGGTCAATCCTGTTTTAAGGCTGTCAAAATGTGCTAAATTTCAGATACATTTTAGCCAAATTTGAGCATTTTTTTGACTTATTTCAAGATGAGATAGACTTTATTGATCTCACAGGAGAAATTTTGCATCATTATTTGCAGTGTAGAATAGACCGTCGCACAGAATTCGAAGCAAAACTGCCAGCCTTCCTCGAACTGGTGTCACAAGCACAGTTACCTCAACACCTCCTACATGTGTTGACAAAGTCTTGAAAAACTTTAGAACTGCTACATATAGAGGAGGGAGAGATATTCACAGGATTGCTACTTTTTGGGGATTTTATGACGTACTTTCTGTAGGAGCATGTGTGCGTTACTGCGGCCTGGTTATTAGACGGGGGATCAGGGCAAGGCCTTAGACACAAATAAACTTACTTTATATTACAAAAGAGGGTGGGAGAGGAGGGGAAAAGCTTTTTATTGTGGTGTACTATTTCTTTCTGATGGTTTTGCACATGTAACTTGTTTATGAGGTATGCAATGTTTGGTTTGAGGACGTTTTAGTGGCCTTGGAGCATGCACAGATATCAGAACTGGACCTATAGCAGGGAGATGCGTTTCTCTGGATTATTGGTGCTAAGGCATGGTGTACGGTTATTTTCTGTATCTGATTCAGAGATTCTCATCCAAATGTTTCTTTAAAAAAAAAAAAAAAGCTCAATAAAGCAAAACATGACGCCCTCCATTAACCTTTTACACTGAAAAAAGTTATAAAAAATGTTCAAATTTGGGAAAATGTATCTGAATTTGTGTACGTTCTGCCTGCCTTAAAACTAGATTTGCCAATGGGACAAGATATTATTTCAGGAACTGTTTTATTTTTTCATTCTAAGGGGGACATTTTTAAAACAAGATACTTTTGCTAGTCCCATTTGTAAATTCTTGTTTTAAAGCAGTAAAAATGTGCTAAAATTCAAATATGCTTTTGCCAAATTTGAGCTTATTTTTCATCACTTTTTGCAGATTCCCAGAAAATGCAAATGTCTTTTTGCAATCACTCAAAGCTGCAAGTGAAACCTCTTTTAAAAACTTTTTTCTCAAATCTTCAGGGCTAAGATTTTTAATTACAAAGTGCACAATGCATTTGCACAAAATGACCCTGAAAACCATCTGTAAATATCACAGTAAAGTCATACGCAGTCATTGAAAAACGCTAATCAAGTGGATGGTGTGCATTCTTCATTTAAAAAAAAAAAATACAAATCTGAAACCGTGCCGTTTTCCGTCTTCTGGACAAAGTGAGTGTGTGTGTGACAGTACTGCCATAAGTTATGGGAAGTCATGTTCTATAGAGAAATATATATATAAAATATGAAATACATATATGAAAATGTTTACTGTATGGATATGCATTGAATGTTTGCACAGACGTTTAGAGTGTATTGCTCTGATCAAAAACGACCATTGAAGTCAAGTGTCCTCAGCAAAAACCTGAGCAGTGTCAAAAATGTGTTGAAATGTGTGATCTCTAATGTTTTTAAACCGTGACCGTGTGATGGAAGAGTACTTTCTGGCATTTACGTTTTTTGTTTTGTTAAATCTTTTACCATTCAGTGGTTGTGTATTATTACTTCCAGTGTTGTTTGTCCATTTTCTCATGACGTGTCTAAGGCGACTTGCTTGTGTAAACGTAAGTGTTCTTTCAGGCCTCAGGAGTACACAGACCAAGTGCTTTATGATCTGAATATTCACCTTAAAGACGTACAACTGAACGCTTATCTTTGCACATCGTCTCGTCTTTTCATCGTTCGAGTCCGAGCGGTTTCCTCAAAACTTCTCATGACTGATTCTCCATGACTATGTGTACCTGCCTTGCCTTAATGTCAAATTAATCTTCTTTTGACTCTTTATTGTGGAACACACTTATGGGGCTTGTGTAAAGTTGAAATGAAAGAAATGTACTGCCTTCTGTCTTTGTCAAACTGTGTAAAAAGAAAGCCTAACAGACATGTTTGTGAGTTACATTGGTTTTGTATGTATGTAAATAAATAAATTATAAGCCTCGTCTTCTAGCTTGTGATTTTATTGATGCCGAGCTTTTTTCTTGGCTATAATAGACAACTCTGCGTTCTGAAATATTATACAGAAATGTCTGTCTGCTGGCATGGGTTGAATACTTTGCATACTTATATTAAACTGATTAAAGGGGCAGATAACATGGGTTGATTAAAATACTGTTTTACAAATACGAACTGGTCTGCGGACCAGTTCGACTCAAAGCAGCCGTGTGAAAACTACTGTAATTGAAGTCATAGCCCCTTCACAATGTTTTAAAATCACTGCTTAGTTGGAACTATTTTCTACAACCCAAAATCTAAACTTATTAACTTGGTAATTGTATAGAAAGTTCAGTCATTTCAGATTCAAAAGTAACATGATTAAATAAGCTGAGTCAAGGTTCAAACATTTTCAATGTTTATTCATAAATATCACTACTGTGAGTATAAAACCATCTTAAATTTCAGATTTCTTTACCAATACTATTAGTGGAAGCTCTGGGACAAAACACCATTGGTGAATAAGGACATTGCATATTTGCCTCAGACTTGTTCATGTCTACGTTGCTGTAGCGATGTTGCAGATTTCTTTTGACACAAACTGAAAAACCTGGTACATTATCTTCCTCAGGAATATGAAACATTATCAAACTGTACACAAGTAAAAGCAATAGGAGTGATCAAACCACTTCAATTTGAAGTACATTTTTTTTCAATCATTCAAATACAAAAAAATATTTGTTACATTAGTAAAAAATACAAACAAAGAATCTGCTATTAAAACGTATGATGATACTCTGGGTTTATTGTTAAAGAGTGAATAAAACCTAACTATTTATCTTCAGTTACAAAAGTCCATAATATGAAAATGTCCACCGTTTTGGGTCACAAAAATAGCCGATGCCTTTTTCAACAATAGTAGGCACTCCTGTGTTCAAAGGGTGAGGTAGCTCAGGGAACCCGTGTGGGTTTAAGTAAGAGCCAACAGAATGCATTAAAGAGGAGACGCATGTCAAGGTGAACAATACCTCAAACATTTCAGTCCTAGCACCGGCACAAGTCCTCCTCACCTCATCCTCTCACTCTCTGTCATCTGCCACAGTCCCAGGTTCAACACTTTAAGGCATGGGAGCTGTGTGATCCTCTCCAAACCCCTTTTGGTGATTTTGGTACAACCGTACAAGTCTATCCCTGTGAGCTGGGTCAGATGGTCCGCTATGAGCTCCAAGCCTTTGTCTGTTATGCGGACACACTGTCCAATGTTAAGAGTCTTCAGTTCGTGCATCTGGCGCACCATGCGGTTGATGCCATCATCACTAATATGGCAGGAGCAGAGGGACAAGGACTTGAGCTGATACAAGCCCTGGGCGATGTAAGCCAGACTCTGATCCCCAATCTTATCACAAAAAGACACGTCCAGCCCACAAAGGCAGAGGGTTCCCATGGCCAGGTGCATTATGCCTGTGTCACTGATGTTATCACAAGAGCGGAGGTTCAGGCAGCACAGGTTGGTCATGTGTGACAGGTGGATCATACCCGCGTCTGATATGCCTCCACAAAAGCTGAGGTTCAGGACTTTCAGCTTGTTTAGACCTTTGGAGACATGTTTGAGCGAGAGGTCTGTGAGCTTCTGGCAGTCCTGTAGGGTAAGCTTCTCCAGAGACAGACAGCCTTCTGCTGCGCTGCGGGTCATTCCCGCCAGGTGCCCGATACCCACATCTGACACATGCCTGCAGCTGCGCAGGTTCAAGCTCTTGAGGCGGTGCAGACCCCAGGCGATGAGCAGCAGCCCTGTGTTGGTGATGTTACTGCAGCCTCCCAGTTCCAGCACCTCCAGGTTCTTCAGGTACTGCGCGATGCGGCCCAGGCTGGAGTCCGTGATCTGTTTGCACAGACTCAGGTTGAGGACACGCAGGGACGGGATGTCCTGTACAAAAGCGTGCCCCAGTCCGTTGTCTGTGAGGTTAAAACAGCCGCACAAGTTGAGACTCTCGATGTGCGGCATGCCCTGGATCACGTAGCTCAAACTTCTTCTCAGACTGAGTATCTGCACTTTCTTGATGCCTCTGGTCTGCAAGCTGGGGAACAGGGACGGGTTAGCTCGCCGAAGATGGAGTTTGGCTTCCACCCCCCTCCACACAGACTTGTGGTACGAGGCGTCCCTCCAGGCCGCGCACACTTGAGCCACTCTGCCTTTGTCTTTCACGTCCAAATAGCTGAAAATAATGGCGAGGATTTCAGGGAAAAGGCACGATATGTGAGTCTCCATTTCAAACATGGCTGTGGTTGAAGGGAGCTCCCCCACAGATGTTGTCCGTAACGCCAGTGTGGCTGTGTTAGCCCCGACTCTCCGGGACAAGTTGCTCTGTTTGCAGCGTTAGCTTGATTACAAATAAGCTAAACCAAGCCAATTAGCTATTTATGAACAGAAGTGTGTCCATCACAGATCCATGGTGGTCTTCCAAATACATCTTGAATTACAGCAGTTCAAAATGCTCGGTGCGGATGTTAAATATTCAACTGAAAGGTTTTTTTTTACTGCGAAGCTGCTATTTACCTAGCATGCTAGGCTAGCAGTTAGCGAGCGTCGCCGGAGAAAGCTTTTCAAACTTGTGTGCGTCCAAATCAGCGTCCGATCCTGGAATAAGGCTCTTCCCTGCTCCCCGCGTTGCACTGAGCGTCTTCAGTAAAAGCAAATGTCTTATTTTGTTGAACTAGGACAGTTCTAAACGCTCATAGAGGATAGTTTGTGGTCTTCCTGAAGGCATTTCCCGATAGCGTCGAGCCAGTGCGATCTTACCAAATGAATAAGCCCACTTTGTTAGCTTCGGCTAGCCTAGCAGCGGGAACGTGCCCCCTATTGGACACTTGGCGTTACTACAACCAAGTAAAGGCTTTCACTAACTTCATTCTAATATAAAAAATAATGTATGATTTCCGTCATCATCCAGCGTTAGTCTGTTCTAATGCGGTGTGATAGATTATAATGCGAGAAATAGATACGCTTTTTATTTTGAATTCATATGTAAGCAGATAGTAGAAGTATTTGTTTAATATTTTAATTATTTAAAAAGAGCCTAATATATCTAAGACTTAATCCAAGACCACCAAAAATATCCCCCACCTCACAAGCAATGTTAAGTGATTTACTGCAGTGGGCTTTCCTGCCTATCTGGCCTGTTCTGTGAAAATGCCTTTGAACTGGCAGGAAGCCTGGAGAGGTGACCTGACCCCTGGCACCAAAGGCTCAGGAGGTTAGAGGCTGTTAGAGAGTCAGTGTAAAGATAACAAGAGGCGCATTCACTCACTCATTCACGTTTAGATGACCTATTTAACTATTTAGACCTTTGTGCACTATCTGTGCCTCAATTGCCAGATTGTGTGGTAGACCAAATTCGAGAAAAATGTAATTCTCACCCAAATTTAATAGGAAATATTTCTATTGTTCTTGTTAATGTTACTTATGCAACACCAATGGTTTCTAGACCCAATGCATATGTAACTTGTGTGCTCTATAAATGGAACCTAATCCACTTGTACAAATAGCAAATGTGCTAGTCAGAGACAAAAATAACACATTAAATTGTATGAGTCTGCCAGATATTTAAATTGGTACACCTTCAAAAATAAACATAAAAACAGACATAATGAATAAAAATTGAATAAATAAACAAATCAAACAATAACGTGAATAAAATACAAATAGTAATGGCCACCAGAGGTCAGTATGCTTCTTTAATAGGCTTGTATGTAATGAGTGAGTGGTGAGGTGACTTTAGTGTTAAGAAGATGACCATCTAAAACAGTTTTGCAGTAGAATATTAAAGACCAAAATACACAAAAAAAGTTCTTGTGAAGATAATACTGTTCTCAATTGAATGCATACAGTTTGATCAGTTTTAAGTGGCTTTTTAACAAGTCTTCTTATCAGAAATGGCCATGTTACCTGCCCTTTATCCTCAGCTGAATAATCAATGCTTCATATGGTTTGTATACAATCTATTGTGCACGCGTGTTACTAACAGTAATTGTGGTAAGCAAACGTATGGATCATGCAGAGAAGAGACAGCGATAGCCTGAGAGTCATCCCCTTTTGGCCTGGCCAATGGCTGGACATGTCTGTGCTAATGACCCTGTCTGGAGGCTCACAGGCAGATGGTCAATTCACTTCAATTAGGCCTATATTCTGCACATCTCCACTGACAGCAACTCTGCACCCATGCTCCAAAACGCATGGCAGAAATACACTCACAAGTCACAAATATAATACATCTGTTCATAATCGGCATTGTTATAATTGCGTTGGTTGATTTTTCAGCTTAGGAGAACAATACATAATCACATTATGAATAATAACAAGAGGAAAAAAGGTGTCTCGTCTGGGTGATGGATGGATGTTTGTTATATCACTAAGTTACATAACAATGAATCTATCTTTGCATTTATAGTCATATTATTTGTTCTTCTTTTGACTGAATATGTATAGTTTTGATGTATGTTATAGGGAAACAGATGTATGTGCATTTTCAGAATATTGGTTTGGTAGCAAAGTTGCAACTTTGTAAATAAAGTATGGGATTATGTTATCAATGATCGACTAATACAGAAAGTCCAATAAACGGTACATTTTTGAGCGTTATAATAGATGCAAATATCACTGGGAAACCAGAGTCAACTGAAAATAAAAGTTGCTAAAAGGGTTGGAATGATGAAGAATAATTATAATGTATCATTCTTACTATTTAGGGGTTGGAAATTCAAAGAAGCTTAATAAATATGTAAAATGTATATGAAACTAAAATAAAAAGCTAAAATGAACAGTTATGAACAGGTGGGTTTTGAGCTGAGATTTGAAGTTCTGAAATGGTGGACTTCCTGATGTGTTTGAGAGAGAGATCCAGAGAGTGGTGCGGTCCCCCAGGGTTTGGCACTTTGTTCTGATGGGAGTGAGGAGGTTGGAGTCGGCGGATCTGAGGCGGCAGGAGGGATGAGATAAGATAAGATGTGCTTTATTTATCTCACATAGGAGAAATTTACATGTCACATTTGGCATGGATAGGACACTCAGATTGTGCAAAAGGAGGAAATGTGCAAACATGTTACATGCAGGATATATATGTACAATAAAAGTGACAATAATTATGTGCAACAAAAGTGACAAGTGTCAATTGGAAACAGTGTCAATAGTAGTGCAGGTTTTCACACAGTGATCATTTAAAGTGACTTATTGTACAGTCTGACAGCGGTGGGGATAAAGGCCCTGCGGTAGCGCTCCTTCCTACACTGAGGGTGTCTCAGTCTTCCACTGAAGGAGCTCCTCAGCTCCTCTACAGTCCTGTGCAGTGGGTGGGAGGTGTTGTTCATGATGGAGGTGACTTTGACTAGCACCCTCCTGTCCCTCACCTCCTCCACAGAGTCCAGGGAGCAGCCCAGAGTGGAGCTGGCCCTCCTGACCAGCTTGTTCAGTCTGTTTCTGTCCCGCTCTGTGCTGCCCGGGGCCCAGCACACGGCAGCGTAGTATATGGCAGAAGCTACCACAGAGTCATAAAAAGTCTTGTGCAGAGGCCTGCTCACTCCGAAGGACCTCAGCCTCCTCAGAAGGAAGAGGGGACTTTGGCCCTTCTTGTGCAGGGCGTTTGTATTATGGGACCAGTCCAGTAATATAAACGCCCTGCACAAGAAGGGCCAGTGCCAGACAGTGCTAAAGAACAAGTCACTGAACACCAATGCTCTGCTCTTATTGTATCGTTCATTCATATTTATTCATCCAAATGTAGATTATTGTGTTGAAAACGCAGACAAATCTCACTCATTTAATCACCTGCTAAAAAGGCCATTAGGATTGTATCTAATGTCCACTATGTTACGATGTACAATAAAAATAAGCGAAAAGGAGATATGTATTGTACCAGATTGTAGCAGGAGTACTTATTTACAGCTTTAGTCCCTGAGCAGGTTGTTGTAAAACAGTAAAATAAAAGTAGATGGATACACACCCATATCCATTACATACTATACATTATCAGACATCGTTCTAATCCACTTGTCATGTAAATGAAAGAACCTCAGGACTCGATTCAACTTTAAAACTGAAGGAACAATGTTTAGGGCATTTGCTGTCACATCAAGTACACAGCGTATTTACAGACAAATAGGGAGCATAACAATGAATTCGGCCACATTTTGAACTACTTTAAATAAATGCAAGGAGATACTCTTTGGAATGGATTACATGATGTATTAAAAACAAGCTCAAATATGATTACATTTAAACAACTGAAGAATAAAAAAGTGGTGGAGGAAAAGGAATGATGCCCACAGTACAGTGTAATGGGAGGCAGGTGTATGGTCAGAGAGTGTTTTGGCCTGTGTCTGATCTGAGAGGGTGTGCGCATTGACTTTGCCATTGAATCGTAAGTGCCATGATAGTTAATTAGTTTTTATCCCTGTAGGGAAATCTGTCCTCTGCAGTTGATCCATCCTTCAATGCTGCTAGGGCCTCTGTCAGGGGTAGTGGTTTCTACAGTTCAGCGCCTGGGGGCCCGGCTCGGCTCAATCAGGACCAGAGCTGGAGGATTTTGCCCATCGTACATGTTTTTATTGATAGGGGAAACAGTCAGAATATGCAAACTCCACTCAGAAAGGCCCTATTCCGACCAAGATTCAAACCCAGGACCTTCTTGCTGAGAACCAGTCAGCCGCTGTCTTGCCCAATAGAGCGCAATAGAAATCAGATTTTAGAAACATTACCACAAACACAGATACATAGTACAATTTGTTGTTGTTCTACCGTTCATTTTCATTGACGCTTCAAAGCCCCTAACCCATCACCATCTTTCCCTCACTCATTACATTCAGAGTAAGTTTTTAGTGGTACAGGGGAAACCGGAGCACCTGGAGGAAACCTACACAGACACAGGGACAACGTGCAAGCTCCACAAAGGAAAGACCTGGTGGTGGAATCGAATCCAGGACATTCTTGACTACACAAAACAAGACACACGCACACAATTCAATTTCATTTCAACTCAATGTATTTTTGTATTGCCTTTAATCATGACTGCAGTGACTTACAAAGTTGTTGATTTACCAACAGAGATCAGAAAATCAAAAATGGTTAAAACACAGGAAATGCAATGGTTAATAAAACACATAGAGCTATTGGTCCATAAGGGGCATATGACCAATGTCCATAAATATGAATAGATGTTCATGAATGTTGTTTAATGTCCTCCTGGATCATCACCACTGTTCTTCTTCAACTCTCACTTTCCTCCA